TACCCCAGTGTCAAGAATCTCCATATTTTAATACCTTCTTCCCCCAGAACCCACAAATAAATCATAAAAATAAAACAATAAACGTAACCCTATTCTAGGGATCGGGTTATTGTCAGCGTTAGTGCTGAGGCGATTCTATTTTTTAAAAATTGGAACAAATATAGAATATATACACCATAGCATCTTATGAAAAGCAACCCTTCCACCCAACCATCCATTCAGGAAGTGCAATACTTTTACTAAGTTATGGAAAAGTAATTCCTCCACCCAACAGTCCAAACAGGAAGTGTGTTATACAAAGGCAGCTATGGAAAAGTAACCCCTCCACCCAACCATCAACCCAGGAAGTACATTATACAAAGGCAGCTATGGAAAAGTAACCCCTCCACCTAACCATCAACCCAGGAAGTGTGTTATACAAAGGCAGCTATGGAAAAGTAACCCCTCCACCCAACCATCAACCCAGGAAGTACATTATACAAAGGCAGCTATGGAAAAGTAACCCCTCCACCTAACCATCAACCCAGGAAGTGTATTATACAAAGGCAGCTATGGAAAAGTAACCCCTCCACCCAACCATCAACCCAGGAAGTGTATTATACAAAGGCAGCTATGGAAAAGTAACCCCTCCACCTAACCATCAACCCAGGAAGTACATTATACAAAGGCAGCTATGGAAAAGTAACCCCTCCACCCAACCATCAACCCAGGAAGTACATTATACAAAGGCAGCTATGGAAAAGTAACCCCTCCACCTAACCGTCCAATCAGGAAGTGCAATAATAATAGAGCTGCTAAAAAAATCTGGAGGAAAAAAGCAGGTTCAGACGTGTGGCACCTCGGGTAAGATAAATGCTAGCTTATCTTTTCCCCAGTTCCAGACTGCCAGACTTTGGATCAACAAGGAACCAATCATACATGAGATGAAACACCGCAGTCGTTTATTTATTTATTTTTTTAAAAGGCTATTGAACTACGGGAATAAAAATAACGTTTAAAACTGAAATTAGTTTCATTAACTTAACCAGTGAATCTTCTGGTGTGTTCGATGTACAGTATTTCTTTTTCTTCCCTTTTGCCCCCTGCTGCACTTTGTTTTTACAAAGTGTGTTATGTTGCATCTTAATTTATCTACGTTAGTTTCCAAAACAAAAATTTCTCGGCAACAGCAAGAAGTAACACGAAGAAAAATAAGATAGAAAAACAAACAAACAATAATACAACCAATTTGAGCATTATTGATACAGTGAAACCGTTGAAACCGATGATACGCCATGAGACAATGCTAGTTCGTATCTTATATATATATATATATATATATATATATATATATATATATATATATATATATATATATATATATATATATATATACTGCGGGGAGTGGGGGCTCTAGTATATATAAAAAAATTGTGCAGCTTGTTTTTAATAAATACTAAACAGATCTGTAAATTGGAGTTTGTAGTTTTGTAAAACTTATCGGCCTTATGTCCAGTCGGCGTTTTTGATGTCAGGTCTTTTTTATTTTATTTTTATATTAGAACTCAATTTACATCATTGGTAAAATTAAAGAGAAAGCATAACAATTTTAGAATGAGGAGATCGATGCGTCGATTCGCTGAATGGCGCAGTCGGATCATACTCACTAATCCGCTAACCCGGGATTGGCCAGAACTGAAGTCACGTGTGACCCGTCAGTTTTTAGATGATTTAACCAGAAGCTGTTCACAATGTGACATCTGGTGTAGTACGTCGTATGAAAATAATTTTTGGTAAAAAATGGAGTATACTTAGCAGCGTCGGTGGTGTAACGGTTAGCATAGTTGCCTTCCAAGCAATTAGACCGGGTTCGACTCCCGGCTGACGCATCAGATTTTTTAAAATTTTATTTTTGCACCAGCGTACCCATGCCGTGCGTTGCTGCGGTCTCATGATAAAGGCTGACGCAATATTTTAGGAGATTTTTATCAATGCGTTACCAACGGTGTATATTTAGACTCGTAACCTTTTTTTCTGAGTTATATATTGTAAACGATGCAGGCACTATATTTCTTGGTGGACAAACATAGTGCTTTAGGGGCGCCTAATTTCATTACGTGAACGATTATTGTAGCCATAGTGCTCACGGGAAAGCCAGGGGGTGCCAAATCGCAATTTACTGAGGTGCCGCAACAAATTCCCAAAGTTTCCTGGATGGCGATCGGACTAATGGTGTAGTCATGCATTAAGGACCGACACCCACAGCCACACCCACAGTCGGACCGATGGTGGGGTGGCACACTGATCTACCCCACCGGATGACACCCGACCTACTGACGCCACTGAAGTTTAATGTCATTTGATACACATAGTCGAATCATCAGTCGCCTTTTAAAGTACAGTCTTTTGTCAGGCAATGGACTTAACTTACACCATTGACTCTTCTACCCAAGGGTTTGAGTGTGTAGTGTGACTAGCTACAAGACAGAAACGAATGGAGATTCAAACCCCCTTACAATCCCAAAACTGTAACAAAATCTGGGGGTTATCTCACCCATGCGTGACGATAATAAAAAATCGTCACGCACCAGTTGTTTGGTACAAAATGAGTAGGGGAATTTTAGCAACAATGTGCACTGTTGCTATCAGGTAGCTATCAATGGTGTATGGAACTTCACTAAGAACGAACTTAATTCACAAAATAAAGTATCAACAGTATGTAAAGTCGTATACATAACCTTCGGTTTGTCATTTGAGTTTATGAAGATTCGTATTTACTAAATAAAGAAGAAGAAAACATAAATTTTATAGCTTTTAAGTGCACTGGCAAAAAATGTAGACGCATTAAGCGCTGAAATGTGTAATATATTTTATAGGCGATAAAGCGAACAATTTTTATACATTTTAATCCTCAGTGAATTTAAATGCGCAATAATGTAAAGGTTTCTTTATCTGCCTGCAGAGTTTCTTCCAGGCACGTCTTCGGGGGGGGGGGGGGGGGGGGGGGGGGGGTCTGTCTGTCCGTCTGTCTGTCTTTCTGTCCGTCTGTCTGTCCGTCCGTCTGTCTTTCTGTCTGGGTCTGTCCTTCAGTCCGTCTGCCCGTCTGTCTTTCTGTCCGTCTGTCTGTCTGTCTTTCTGTCCGTCTGTCTGTCTGTCCGTCCGTCTGTCTGTCTGGGTCTGTCCTTCAGTCCGTCTGCCCGTCTGTCCTTCTGTCCTCCGCCCTTCCCTTTCGTCCGTCTATCTGTATGTCTGTCGGTCCGTCTGTCTGTCTTTCTGTTCGTCCGTCCGTCTGTCTGTCTTTCTGGGTCCGTCCGTCTGTCCTTCAGTCCGTCTGCCCGTCTGTCTTTCTGTCCGTCCGTCCGTCCGTCTATCTGTATGTCTGTCGGTCCGTCTGTCTGTCTTTCCGTCCATCCGTCTATCTCTCTATTTGTCAGTCTGTCTTGTGGGGGTTTGGAAAGTGAGTTGAAGAGCAGTAAGAGCTTTAGTAGAATGTTATGATACCTACAAAAATTGACATCTTTTTGTACCCAGGGCTGAAATAGTTTTTCCAAAGACGTAAGTTGACCGGTAGCGCCTAATTATTTTAAACATAGCCTGTGAAGTCATTTTTATTAGCTCTCCCTAATGTGGCTTTAGATAGTTTTCTAACACGCATTGGTCATTTCTGACCACTATTTTATGGAACCTGTTCGTATTGACGAGAGGTGGCGTAGATATGTTTTAGTATGACCGCAACGTTTGTTTAAATTCTCGTAGAGTTCAGTTTAGCCGTATGTAACGGACACCTATCTACCAGCCAGATAGATGGTGAACGCTCCCGGATTCTTTCTTGGGGTTATATGCAAATGACCTAAAGCCTAAATGAATGAAAACTAACTCAACAACTCACTAGGGCTCGATTTTCAGGTCTAGGGAAAACTAGTGAAACTATTGAAGTTAACAACTCATTCAATCTGCATACAACTTTTAATAAGTGAACAAAGTTGTGGCAGAACACTAGGTTAAACAAGATAAAATATTTAGTTTAGAAATAACAAAACCCAATTTACAAAGCGTAAGAATAAATACTATCACAGATTCTAACACTTTATAAAAATAGCCACAGTTCACATAACACTGCTATAGCATCAAGAATCACTTGGCCACAAGTAATATAATACTAGGATACTTAAACAACTGAATACTGCACGGCAACACACAGGACTTATGCTCTCTCACATTCAACTGGTCAAAATGGACTGCCTCGAGACACCTGTGGGCGATCTATTTATAGACTTAGGTAACATGGAAGGTCACCTTCAGATCGTAAGACCATTGGTTGAGGTGGTCATCTGGTCTGAAACAATCAATCATCTCTCGATGGAAAATTTCTGAGTCTAAGACTCTCTTAGTAAGACAGCGGAAAAAAACCGGTTGTTGCACCACAAACCATATATGGTATTATAACAATGTCAAACTAAAAAATAAAACATTACTAGACCTAAGTAGGTCACACGTAGATATAAGTATACTTATAAACTCCTCAGTTTGCCGATCTTTTAGTGCAAATGTGAATGTTATGAATTGAAGTTAACAAATAGTCATCAGTGGTGGCATGTTTTTTTTTTTTTTTTTTTTTTTTTTTTTAAAGGGTTCCTGATACAGCTCATAAATGTCCATCCTTTATTTAAGTTATCCATCTTAGTTTTATTTAGTTTGTGATCGGTTTGTGTAACTTTTGTAAACCTTTTTCCATACGAAGATGTACGAATAAATATTTTGTAGTCCTGCATTTACGTGTAGGGAATTCCTAAACAACAAAAACTACATTCTATTTTTAAAGTTTCGCATACGTGTTACCGCTAAGGTCACATGCCATATTGATATTTTATGCCTCTCATTTCCATTTTTTTTAAAGATACGGGGCATATTCGTGACATTTGATCCGAACGTTGTAAAGACAGCGAACAAAAAAATTCTGTCCCTGGTGTGGTCCTATTCAGACCTACATGAAAGGCGGTAAGGGGACATTATCTGAAATATTCTAGCTTGAAATGATGTTGCGTCGCACCGAGGAATACTACAGTGTGTTGTTCGCAGGCATCTTTAGCTCCGAGCTTAAGCGTGTACTTTACATACGACGTGTCAGTCAAGCAGAACACTACGGAATATTCTAGAGGCGGTTACAACTACTTCAAGGCTAGGCTTGTTCATGGTAAGCGTATACTAGTTGCTTTAACCCGCTATATATATTTGGTTAAGAGGTATTTGTTAAATTAAGATTTAGATCTTTTATTAGGTTTAAATTGTATTAACATGAATCGTGTTATATTTAAGAATACTAAAATACTTTTATTTTACTTCAAGGCTAGATATCTTGACTATACATTACCTTTCATAAATGGAAATCACGTTATTCACATCTATCTATCTCTATACTACTAAAACTCAAATTTGTTTACATGTTTGAATATTTATTTGTTTGTTTTTTTGTTTGTCTGATTGACTACTGGAGAGAATCTGCGCTATGTGGAGAGCTGTAAAATAGTATGTAGGTAGAGAACAATTTTTGTTTTCAGACAGACTGTTAGACCCACGCTCAGCTCATTCTGTGTTTTCCCAGACAAAAACATGTCTGAGTTGGGAGGATACTGGGCAGGTGAAGTAGAGTTGACCTGTTTTTGTGACCTCAGTAGATGAAAAGATTATGTTGTCAGACGAAGTCAGTGTTTTTAAAAGACAAAATCGTCTGAGGTGTGTCGCCTTTTTGAATGTGGGGTCTGGTTATTTTGTGATGATTAGTGACAGACGTGATGTTATTTATGGATGACCCTAGAAACCCACAGTTATCTAACTAGATAACGGGTAGTCTAGTTCTAAATAAAACACAAAATTAGACAAAACGGTTTCTTACATTGCACATTTTCTCTTATATTTTTTTAGAATCCAAGTATTTACACATGGACAACCCTTGACCTCGGGTGTTAATTAATTGAAAATAATCTCGACCAGAGATGAAATGAGACAACCCGTTTTGAACTACGCAAGAAAACAATGGCATTGGCGAAACGAAGATCACGTGGGATTTGCATCAAGTTTATGAGGTCCGTCAATAGGCATAAGTAAGTTGTTACTTTGGCTAGGTAAGTGGTCATGTAGGCTAGGTAAGTTGTCAAGTAGACTAGGTAAGTTGTCAGTTAGACCCTGTAAGTTGTCAGGTAGATTAGGTAAGTTGTCTGGTAGACTAGGTAAGTTGTCAGATAGACTAGGTTAGTTGTCAGGTAGACTAAGGTAAGTTGTCAGATAGACTAGGTAAGTTGTCAGGTAGACTAGGTAAGTTGTCAGATAGACTAGGTACTTTGTCAGGTAGACTAAGGTAAGTTGTCAGGTACACTAGGTAAGTTGTCTGGTAGACTAGGTAAGTTGTCAGATAGACTAGGTTAGTTGTCAGGTAGACTAAGGTAAGTTGTCAGATAGACTAGGTAAGTTGTCAGGTAGACTAGGTAAGTTGTCAGATAGACTAGGTACTTTGTCAGGTAGACTAGGTAAGTTGTCAGGTAGACTATTTAATGCGCCACCTCTTACAGGTTGCATAAGTTATTTTATATGTATTTTTTATTACAAGAGAAATTGCTGGAAGATATTCTTCTTGAAATAATATTAAACCTACCTTGTTAACTGATTACATCATACTACAGATAAATATACTACTATAAATATAAACAATTGCTTTATACAAAATAAAATAAACGTTCTAAATAATATGGATGAAGTAAACATTGAAAAGGAGTATAGTCGAAAGGCAAAGTAGAGGTCTACTGGTCGAGTCGATAAAGCTCGTCGTTCCTTAACCAATAAGAATCGAGTTCGAATCCTCGGGCAGAATATGCTTGACATAAACATCAAAATTTATTTCTGTTACGATTGAGTATGTTTTGGTATGGGAAAGAAAAAGAAATATTTTTTTTTGTGTTTAAGGACATTAAGGACCTGGGTCCTACTGTTGTCTGGAATGGTCCTAGTCCTAGTCAGCTTACACCTGTCGTGGCCTAATGTCTCTCGTATGACCGTCCAAGGGAACAGAGAATACGACCCTCCAGGTATTTGGTTTTATCGACATGCTCTTAAAACATAATTCAACCACCAACTACATTTGGCTTGTCGTTGTGCTCTTTAACATAAAATAATATTTTATCACCATTATTATTTAAATGATTCTATTACCAATGAATTTAATTTTTGATATAAAGAAATGGAAATACACTAAAATCAGTGTTTCTTCCAGACGTTTTCTCCGGAGGGTGGGGGGGGGGGGGAGGAGGGGAGCACTTGAAATTTTCGAGGGGGGACTAAAATTTTCGGGGGGGGGGGGGGGCGGACACTGTTAAAAGTATATATTTTCTATATAAATTCCATTTCGTTGGGGGGGGGGGGGGGTAGACTTTCTTCGCCCCCCCCCCCCTAAAGAAATGCCTGGAAGAAACTCTGACTGAAATAATCTTAAAATAGTTGGTCACCAATACCTCTTAATCAATATTTACATTTATTTAACTATCTATAATTTATTCGTAATTTATTTTAATTAAAGTGTAACCATGTTCTCATTAACAAAACAATTTCAGATCCTCCGTGTGTAGACCGCTATTCCACAATATTTAACAGAGTCGAGGATATTTTTTGTATAGTGAGTATCACAGTATCGAAGACTTAGAATCTCACAATCTATCGTATAACAGATTTTTAAAAACCCATTAATTTTATCCTGCTGGGAAGGAAGTTTTATAGGACGGGATACGTGACGAATTCAAATTCTATAATGGTATGCCTGCTGCGAGGTTATGTTATAAAGCGGCGCAATTCATGCATGCAAACCTCCTGTTGCGAACGTTTACATTTAAAGCCAAGATCCCCCCCCCCCTCTCCGCACCCTTTCCCAAGCAACTTTCTAATTAAAAAGTTTACGGGGGCCATTAAAGATTTTTTGTGACCTGTGTTGAGCACTGCAAAATATTTTGACTATTTTAGGTGCAAATAAAATAAAATTTTAATTTCAGCAGTCTCTATTGAACTTTGATTTAGTGTCCTTACTTTATTTACGTGTGTTAGTTTATTGAAAACAGTTTCTTCGTGGTGGCATTGCCCCCCCTCCCCCAACCCCCCGAAGAACGTCTACCCCCACCCCCGAGCGAAATGGAATTTGTATAGAAAAATTATACTTTACTAATACCAGCCCCCCCCCCCCCCCCCCCCCGGAAAATTTAGTCCACCCCTTCTCCTTCCCTTTCCCACCCCACCCTAAAAGTTTCACGAAAAACGTCTGAAAGAATAACTGATTGAAAAATTAAGCATCACAACTCTGTCATCCTCCCGCCCCCCTGCCCCCCCCCCCCCCTCCCCATCGTACCCCCGACTAAAGTTTTTTAAGTACCCTCGGCAAAAATATCTGAAAGAAACACCGACAAAAACATTACACAGCCTCATAAGAACAAACAAAAAAAGAGAAAGTGCAAGAAAAACTTGAAGACTTGTCTGAAGGACAATTTCCTACACCCCCCCCCCCCAGTCAAGGACAGCAGGAGGCGCCAAGCCCGGCTTTACAAAAGCAAAGTGTAATTCAACACGGGTTGTTTTTTTTAGTGTGTTCTGGTTGTATGATATTATGTTTCAGTCAAAAACTGTTTTATTTTATTTTATTTTATTTTATTTTATTTTATTTTATTTTATTTTATTTTATTTTATTTTATTTTATTTTATTTTATTTTATTTTATTTTATTTTATTTTATTTTATTTTATTTTATTTTATTTTATTTTATTTTATTTTATTTTATTTTATTTTATTTTATTTTATTTTATTTTATTTTATTTTATTTTATTTTATTTTATTTTATTTTATTTTATTTTATTTTATTTTATTTTATTTTATTTTATTTTATTTTATTTATTTATTTATTTTTTGCCATCAGAACTTGCCCGCGTTTCTGCCACAATTCAAGAATCCGTGTTTCTACGATTATTTTCCCATGGGTTTAAAAAGGCTGCGCTGTCTACCATACTTTTATATCATCGGAATGGACAAAAGTGGTACTACGGACCTCCATGCTAGACTAGTCAGACACCCACTCGTTAAGGGCAACTTTGGAATATTGGGGAAAGAAGCGCAATTTTGGTCCTGGAAAAGATTCGGTATGTTTGTTTAATTCTTTCTTGTAGGAATGTTATTTAAATCTTTCTTTACAATCTATAAACGTTATGTTATTTAACTCTTTCTTTACTATCTTTAAACGTTATGTTATTTAACCCTTTCTATACTATTTATAAACTGTATTTTACTTTAACCTTTAACGGAATGTTACTTATCCCTTTCTTGACTGTTAATAAACGGTATGTCATTTAACCCTATCTGTACTATCTATAAACCAGTAGCGTAAGCAGGGGGGTTGGTGGGGGGCTATAACCCCCCCCCCCCCATGTTACTCTCTGTAAAAAAAAAATTACTGTCATAATACCAATAATAATACCAATAATACCACTGTTACTTATTTAAATCTATTTCTGAATCAGTATATATGTATAATGGTATTTATATGTTTAGAACAGTCTTCTAAAAACTGACGCTATGTTTACTCTGAGTTGGTTATCCCCCCCCCCACCTCACCACCACAATTGTGTAGAGCGACATTAATGTCCCGTTCGTGCCCAAAGACACATGAGGCAGATGAGACATACTGCGGTCAGCGCTAGAATTGATAGTGTGGTTAACACTATGCCCAGCCGCCTTTCATTTCCTTAAAGTGAGTTAGGTACCCATCAGAGCTGGGTGAACTCAGGGACGTTTACTTACTGGAACCCAGATTCGAACTCGAGACTTTCGTGTTAGCATTCTACCTCTCTACCGCCACGCCGTCCCAATTTACCACAATGCATCAGCTAAACCTTATACCAACCCACTACCACTGACAGGGATCATGATAAAACAGAGTGGCGATATGAATACGACACTGGACATGTACATGGAGCTGTTTGCACAAACTGCTGATGCCATTGATAGACAAAACAATACGGAAATTATTACAGGTGAGTTCAGGTAAGGACAGGTAGAGGAATGTGGGAGTAGCAGGGAGGAAAGTAAATGTTATGTGAAAAGTGTAGGGAAAAGTGAAGGTAGTGTGAAAAAAGTGTAAGAAAAATTGAAGGTTGTGTAGAGAAAGTGAAACTGATTAGTAAAAAAAAATGTGAAAAAGAGTGTAGTGAAAACAAAAGGTAGCGTAGGAAAAGATAAAGTTGATGTGACAAAAAGTGAACTAAGTGTAGGGAAAAGTGAAGGTAGTATAGAAAGTAAGTGAAGGAAGTGTAAAGTAAAAAGAAAAGTAAATTTCGAAAAAAACAACTGTAAAATGTTAGCAATTAAAATCGACGAGAGCCTGATAAAAATTCAGAATGTCATACAAATTATACATTATAGTGAATATTTATAACATTTAATAAACTGATATAAATATACATGAGGTTTGTTTTATTTTGGTAGTCTAACAGTTACGTACATTATCTTTTTTTCTGAATTAGTAGGTTAAGGCAAACTTTACATCTCCCAACCTGTGGGCCTATTTTGTCTAATTACGTGTTTTCTCTAAGATTGTAACATTGGTTCCTTGCAGGCGACGCCTCTCCTATGGACTTCTGGGACTTCCGGGGCTGGCCCATGATCCCCCAGAATAAAGGTTTCAGCGAGGCTTGGGTTCTGACGCCCCACTTTTTAAAGTACATTTACAAAGGGGCGCCCAAATTAATTATACAGTTCAGGGAGCCTATTGAAAGGTGAAAACTATGCATTAAAATATATTAAATGTGAGGCTAGTTATAATACAGGTTTAAATATAATCTCCACGACAGCTTAAATAGAGTGTATCTTTTTCTTTGCATTTGGCATGTAAATAAGGTATATTGATGGTCAGCATTTTGCTCCTCTGCCATCATTATATTCAATGTATAAAACGGTTCCGAGTGGACTATAGTATACATCTTTTATGAGAGAATTATTTATATTAGGTAAAACTAGCAGAAGACTTTAAAACCCCTCATGGAATCAAACAACGGTGCAATAAAACGCATTAAATCTATTCCAATACCACTCAATGTTGAATTAAAAAACGTTGTCAAAAAACCCTCATTGTTAGGTATGATACAGTGATTTTAAAATCAATTTAATTTTCAAATATTACAAATATTTCTTCAGACTATACTCCGACTACATCTTTATGAAGTACGGCACGAATCCTGTGGAGTTCCACACCCACACACTACAAGCCATAGACATGATGAGCGCCTGTCTCAAGAACCACTCCATCAGGTTCTGCTACTTTGATAACGGCATGTACCAGAAACTACCGGTAATTTTCCATTTCACGTAACTTCAAACAACGTTTTTTTCCATATGGGGAATTGTTGTGACATCTAACCAAATCCTTGTTGTCACACGTGGAAGCTAATATTGATTTCTATAACTCTATAAAACTACGCAATATAAGGTTCTTGATTTGATTTATTTTTCAACCCTAGGCCAGAGTCCACGTCGGGTGCTACTCGGTGTTTCTCAAAGAATGGTTTCGGGTTTTCCCGAGAAGCGCATTTCACGTGACGCGCACAACTGAATACAAAAACGACATGGAGGGAACCCTGAAGGGTGTGTTCGACTTTCTGGACATACGTGAGTACATTTTTGCTCCATGGGAAGTAGCCAATATACTCTCGTGGGGTGTTGGGTGGTCCATTTGTAAAAGCTGCACAAGCAATGTATCATGTGAAAAAAAAAACAGCAACTCATGTGTGCATTAGATAATTGATGAAAAAAATAGGGACAATGAAATCTTGTTATTTTTAGAGTTTTAACATAAGTCAGCTCAAGACAAATATAATGCGTACATTTATTCTGTTAATGCTGCTATTCTGTTAATGCTGCTATTAAACAAAGAAAAAAGATACATTATTGTTGTGATTTTGTTTACAAAGTAGACCGTAGCTGGCACAATGTTTACCAATTTAGGAACACTAGTTTGATTTGAAATGTATATGTCGTGTTACCTATTTTGGCGCCCTAAATAGATTTTATTTTACCTCTACAGCCCAGCCAACCAAAGCCGTGATGGAGGACATTTTAAAGATGGGAAAACATCACGTGACAGACAAGAAGGGCGTGGCACTTCCGGAAACAGTGAAAGTCTTGCGGGAGTTCTACGCTGATTGTAACAAGGAAACGGCTGAACTGCTGGGAGATGACCGTTTTTTGTGGAAGGACCATTACTCTTGATGTTTTGTTGAGTGTTGTATTTTCACGGTTTTCTCCCTTTAATATAATGACATTGTGCTGACGTTTTCTGTGGAAGGGCCACTACTCTTGACGTCATTCAACATTTCCTTTTGTTGGGATTATTTTATTGTAAATAAACATTATTGTAAATAATAGCAAATAAATCGTTTCAATATAATGACTTGTAATACCAGTGCCGGCGCAAGGTTATTTAGCGCTCTCGGCAAAACTACTTAAAACGCCCCCTTTCATACTTAATTACTAAAACATATGTATAAGAAACAATTAATTAAAAGTGACATTATAATTTTGTATCAATTGCATACACGTCATAAGTAGACATCAAAATCAAATTTTACTTGCCTCCTTCGTCTCAAAAGTTTGTACTAAGTCCGAGTGGCGTAGCGAGGTCGGGTGTCACCCGGTGCGACACTTAATGGTATCACCCCCCAGAGGCGAATCCTTTAGGAGAGGGTGAAAAATATGAAAAGACAATTAATTAGATGATTAGTGTACGACGAAGACTGTATGTCTACTAACATTAAGTATTGCAATCTACAACGGCTACTGGTATATTTGTTTTTCAACTTGATAATGCTAAAAATCCTACCAAATTATTTTGTTTAGAACTTAAGCTCTAGATCTATATAATTTTTACAATAGCAAATAATAACTTAAATGTGTATTTATATGTAAGCGGTCAACCTAAGGTGAAGGAATTTGAAATTAATGTAAATTAAGCAACGAATTATCTCCCATTTGAAAATACCAATACCAAAATTTTATTCAAGGGAAATAACTCTCACAAGAATAGCTAAATCAACCAAGTGTAACTAAGACATGCTTAAAAAACACAATAAAACGGTCTAAATTTTATTACGTAATAATTATAATAAATCTTTTATATTACTTATGTAATCTTGTAAAAACGATTTATTTTACTTATTATATACTTAATTGTAGCTTTTGTTTGAAAGTCTAAAAACGGTAGCTTTATTATAACATATGTCTATTCAATTTTTATGACAAACATTAAATGGTACTTTGAGTCTCACTTAGTGGGTAACATTTTATATCCCTGATACTAAGGGTCGCCGTTCAAAAAAAGCGAACACTGATGACTGTTTTAGACATTGCAAGAATTATTGATTACATATAACAAAACTATAATTTGAAAAGAATCAGTTTACGGTTAGTTATAAATTCCATCCTATTTATATTATATAATATCATATATTAATACTTTAAGAGTGGTAATATTGATTTCTGAAAAAAACTTAAGATTTTTCAACTAGAGAACGCCTACATTTCTTTGTAGTGTGTACCGTACTGAATTGAAATCATCTAACTTACAATAAACTCGACAACTCGATATATTCTACTACATTCGTAACACATATCAAACCTCGATATTTAAATATAACTAGACTCGATGCTACAGAACTGTGACACCAAGCTCTACAAACGATACTCCAAATCAACAACGATTTCACTGGACCTACTACTACACTTTAACAGTCAATATAATTCGATACCACAAGAATCAATTCTCCCGAACTCCAGAACTACGATACTTCGTCACATGCATTCTTATTTCTCTATTACCAATCAGATTCCACTAGATCTTCAACGACAAAGAAGCCAAATAAAAATTATGATACATTAACACTTTGATACTTTATACCTACGAAACCATATTAGCAATAGCCTTCTGCCGTTACTCCCAAATCTAAACGATTCATCAAAACTTACCAAACAAGTACAATACTTTGAACACCCCGTCATTACAAAACTATACACCAGGACAGATTTCTAATTCAAAGTCAGAGAAAACGAGACTTACACGCCCTATTCAAATTAGATAACCGATTGAAATGTACGAAATTTTATTACGAACTTATTTAATCGTTTTCTACATCAATAATGTGACACCAAATTAAAAAGGCAAAGTAACTGGTAAAAAGTGCCCCGACCTTTCCAAATTAAGGAAGTGGGGTTGTATTTTTACCATCGCGAATAAATATAGGCCTAATTTTGGGGTGGGGGCGCAAAATTGATAGTTCGTCCTGGGTGCCGAAATAGATCGCATCTCCTTTATAAAATGTATTAATTATTAGGTACTTTTTGATAATAGCCATTAAACCTTTTGCGCCCCCCTAGAGATGGCGCCTTAGTCGACCGCCTAGTTCGCTTTAAGGTAGCGCCGGCCCTGTGTAATACTTTTTAGCGCAATTTCCATACTGACAATTGCGATTATTAATTCGTTATTTAACTCTTTGTTCAGAGCCTCATTGTGTCTATGACAAAATATATCTTAAAATTAAAAATGGTTTGTACGAATTCAAAATTCTCTTTAATGTGCAATCAGATATTAACTTTAATACAATTACACCGCATGTTTCATAGTAAATCGACGAAAAAAATGAATTTGCTTTGTCACTTTTAATTTTATTTATTTCCTGGTTTTGAAAAATTGGTTGAGATAGGATAATAAACAAAATGTTAATAATTTATCACTGTAACTTGACTAGTCATTAAACCGTTTTCCAATTTCTTTAAAATTCTTCTTCTTTTTCTGAGATACAGAGCTTACTTAGATCGACGAATAAAACATTTTTCTTTCTTTTTCGTTCTTACTTTTGATGTATGGTATTGCGAGTCAACCTGCTCTATACCAGGGTCAGAACTTGGGTCTACTAGGTTCATCAGCCATGAGCTTTACCAACCCCAGATTATCTTCCAGGCATCTCTTCGGGGGGGGGGGGGGGGGAGGCTCTTCCCCCCCCCCTCATTCGAAGAAAGTTTACCGCCCCCCCCCTCCCCCCGAACGAGATGGAATTTATATAGTGAACATACACATTTACTAGTGTCCGCCCCCCCCCCCGGAAAATGTCGACCCCCCCCCCCCCGAAAATATCGAGTGCCCCCCAACCCCCACCCCCCACCCCTCCCGGAGAAGAAAAAAGTCTGGAAGAAACACTGACCAACCCTACCACGCATTCTGTTTCTATGAATCAATAGACGCTTGGATACACACATTCTTTAAAGTGTAGTTGTTGACTGTGTTTATTAAGTGTTGCTTAGCTTCGTAGATCTAGTTGTGTTCGGGTTAGCGTATGTATCTATTGTTATTATTGTTGCTACTCACATTGTTGATTTTAAGTGTGAAGTTTAAAATAAGATGTACTGTTAGTGTCTAAGTCTTAGCGTTTGGAATTGGGTTCAAGTCACCATATTTCATACGTTGGTATTAATCTAGTCATGCTAGTATTTGTATCAATTAACGTGAGTTACTTAGGTACCCATCAGAGTTGGGGGACTCAGTGGCGGTCTACTGACTTGAACCCGGATTCGAACTCGAGACTTACAGGCTAGCAGTCCAGCTAATATTGGGGAGGTGTCGTCCGTAAATAACATCGTATTCTAACCTGGAGAAAGGGGTGAGGGTAGAGATGCTTTGATTTTTGTGACGCTGTATAAAAAAAGTGTCTAAACTCTCCCTTGTACTTCAGAAAAAAATTAAACTTACTTTTCATAAAATTCTCCATTATTTTATAAGACTAACCATGTGCATAACAAATGATAACAACTCAAATGTTATAAAATAAAACAATCACAACAATATATGTCACAGATAATGAAAGAGACGTATCGACGTAACCCTGAACCTGACGATGTGTTGAAAGCAGACGTCAATGTAACTAGTTTAATAAACGATTGATTAATTTACTAACACAATAAAGTCATCAGATGTTCACCTCAAGTTATCGATTTTTTTTTAGATTTTGAATAAGTTCAACAAAGATTTAATATCTTATTTTCTAACCTATATTGACGTGCATTTGATTTTCAAGAGTCAGTTACGTTCTATAAACCTACGTCCGACTTAAAGCAAGCAAGCAAAAAAAAATATATTTTTTAACTCCTAACCATCAACGTATGGAAATTTAGGGTTATTTTCATGAGCTCTAAACACAGTTATCGACTGCTATGTAAAAGTAGAGTGTTGAAAGTTACTTGAATTAGATTGGGTACTTCAAGGTAAGTTTTAGTGAACAAAATTTGCTAAACCACAAATATATTTAAAGTAATCGAAAACGTATTTAAATTATGTTTCAATAAATAGTTATAGATTTAGGTTAAGTTTACAAAATAAATTTAAGTTGATGTAGTGTTACGTATTTGGTGTTGAGTATGTTCAGATATGTTTAAGGATGTATGTATTGGTGTATTTTAGTATCAGGTTTAATTTTATGTTTACAAATAGGTTTGGAATAATTATAACTATAGTTGTAAACTTTTAGGATCGGGCTACACTTATAGAATGGTTCGATCATGGAATGTGTTTGATCAGGCATGTTGGTGCAAACGAATTTTGGTGCGAGAGATACAATGAACTGGAGCTTTGACTATAGGGGGTTTGACCACAAGGGAGCTTTGACCATAGGGGGATAAATAGGGACTTTGTACACAGCGGGGCTTTGACCACAGATGGGCTTTGACAATAGGGGATTTAACCATAACGGGGCTTTGACTACACAGGTGGATCAACCATAACATAAAAAATAATTATAGATTTTAAATTAGAAATTATTAACTGTTATTTGATTTAAATTTATGATACAATTAATACGATTTTATACATGTTTTCTGAGGGTCCATTAATAGAAATTAACAAGTACTAAATAAAACGGGAGTGATTTCCCCTAAACTTTGTCGAATATTCTTATATGAAACAACAGGGGATGGCAACTCGGGATATAGACATGATTTTTAATCCATTTTAAATACTTAAAATTTTAAAATAGAATAAAATCTCGTAGAAAAAAGAATTGCACACAAATTGAACGCCCAATAAAATGTGCATAATAGTGCGGAATATTATTAGTAGTTTATAAATTCACATGTGTTTTTTGAGAAATCGGAAATAGCACAAAATACTACTTCTGGTCAACGGAAATTACTCAAAATTTGACAGAAGGCAGAGAGTTAGATATTTTACTTACATGTGAAATTTCATTTATTTATCTGAAATAGTACTTTTCTTTATAGTAATTTAAATAGTAATTTATAATTTATTTTATACTTTTTAGTGCATTGTTACATAAAAACTTGTTATTAAAACCTTTTTTATGAAAACATTTTTAGTACTTTACATGTTTTTATTTACAATAGAGTTACATGACCAAAAAACATTGCGCTCCTATTGAACGTGATGACACGTGTGGAGTAGTTGGATAGGCCTGCCTACTAATTTGCTCACATTTTTAATTAATTCATAAAAAATTAATCAGGCAACCAATTGAGTCAAATTAAATGTCATGATGCATTGTCTTCATGCCTTGATCCACGTCCCAACTACAAACCGTATCTCTCAGTTAGAAGTGCCTGCAATTTCACTCAGGCGATTCCATCTAGACAGACAGACTGACGATAGACTGGCGACAGACAGAGGAGTGAGTTAAATAAAAGCTTGTAAAAACTGTATTTAAGCTTTTATTTATAATTTTTAAAAGTTATTTTATAAATTGAAATAAAATTGATCAAGTTATTTAATGTTGATCTACCTCAGTACATATCTAAATAAACAACTGTTTTAAAAACAAAAATGAAATTTATCTTTTAAGGGTGTTCAAGGTTCAAGTGTGTGTTTGGGGGGGGGGGGGGAACAGTGTTTAATTGGGAGGGGTTAGGTAAAACCATTTAAAACATTTAAATCATTTAGGAATTATCACATTATCATTGGTCGAAAATGTCCGTTCTGGATTCAAAATATTATAAAAACGTTGAAAATTTACATATTTATTAACCCTCAAATTTTTTTTATGATGGGGTATAGTACAATCCCCTATCACAACAACACCCTGAATACTTATTCAAATTAAAAAGTTATCTAAATTTATTTATGACTCTAATAATTATTTTTTTTAATTCTTTTTCACTTAGGATTTTGGAAGATATATCGAAGAAACATCGTTAATGGCAGAAGAAAACAAAGGTGTTGGCATCCTTAGTTGTCTAAAGTCCATGGCGACTCGGTAGGTTAGGTTGACTTGGTAAATTATCAGGTAGACTAGGTAAGTAGTCAGGTAGACTAGGTAAGTTGTCAGGTAGACTAGGTAAGTTGTCAGGTAGACTAGGTAAGATGTCAAGTAGACTATGTAAGTTGTCATTTAGACTAGGTATGTTGTCAGGTAGACTAGGTATGTTGTCAAGTAGACTAGGTAAGTTGTCGGGTAGACTAGGTAAGTTGTCTAGACTAGGTAAGTTGTCAGGTAGACTAGGTAAGTTGTCAGGTAGACTAGGTAAGTTGTCAAGTAGACTAGGTAGGTTGGCATGTAATTTATCAAATAGACATGCCAAGTTAGGGTTATCTGGTTATTTGATTTTGTTTTTATTTCCAGAAAAGTGAAGGTGTTATTCCTCTTGCTGTCGGCAGCTGTCTTAGCCATGGTCTGTCCACAGCTGTCCTGGTCAAGCGTCTCTCAGAGGATCATCCAGGGAACCACAAACTGCGAGCCTTCAGGTACTTAAGGTTCTATTCACGAAACTTGTGTACAAGTTAGTCGTATTTCCTTTTTTTTTTGGAATGCGTACATTAACATTCAATGTTAGACAATTACACTCGGCGGAAATTTATGTTTCTTTACTATCGATGTCAACATCAATCATTGTGTATGTTTTCCGGCGTTATACGTTTTACTTTCTCGAATACGATATATACAATATAAGTATTGTAATCGTGCTAAACATCTGTAAAGAGATTTTAATTAAGCTTAATGTTTTACACCTCCCTAAGTAAAAAATAAATAAGCTTTTGCATTTTAGTCTGTGGCTTTCTTGGTGTCTGTGAACACGATAACATGAGTACCGTTTCATTTATGTCAAACTAGGCATACTGCCTTTGAGAATTTGAATGCTTAATTAATTAGTGATCGGCTGATTTTTTTATAATTTAAATTAATCAAACTGTTTTTATTGTCCTGTCTGGCACAGACTTAAGATCAAAACATCTGTTGTCAACTTGTCTGTTACGGGTCATTTGTAGGTTAGACTAGAATAGGATAGAATGATCTGGGATTAGGGGAGAGTGAGTGTGTGAGTTGAGTTTACCCTAGAATATTGTTAACCCCGGTGTGTTTGTGTATTGTTATGCCAAGGTCGAATGCGGTATAAAAGCTGGAGTGAATGATTGTCAGGGGTCAGTTGGTGGTGGTTAGGTCGAGGGCTATTCTGTAATGTGAAATGTGAGACCTAATAAACGTATTGAACGTTAACCCGAGTCGTTCTTGAATTTGAAACCAACCCAGAACCTAACATTGTTGAACTGCAATAAGATAATATAACTCTATTTTGAGTCGTTCAACTACTGACAACTGAACTAAATTAACTAAACAAGAAGCCTATATACAAATAAACAGAGGTGTGACAAAGAGAATCAATAGAACTTTAAGTTATTTATTTCTCACTTGTTAATACAAGATCACAAACGATCTACAAAATAAATAATGTCTGCCTTGTGCTTGAAACATGCAATCACTTAAGCAAACTAAATACACTTTCGGATTGGTCTTTTTGTTTATAAAATAGTTTTAGTTTTAAAAGTTGTATATCGACACCTGATCAACATATCAAAACTTTTATGATGACATTTACAACGTCACACCAAATGTTAACACGTCAGAAATTCTAACACTAAGTTACAGTTGTTTCTTGAAAAATTGTCTATACACATGTTATGATGCTTTAGGGTATTCAATTTTTCCAGTTCTCCAGTTAAATTGAAAGCCTGGTAATGTAGCTATTTTCACTCCTGAAACCTCACCAGATTGTAGCTGTTTTTGTCAGGCATAAAAAACTTGGGTAGGTGGCTGAACTTTACGACGCCCAACCCTAATACAGTAGTAAGTATTGGACAGTTTTGGTGATACCCCAGGAGGGAGGTTGGGCAGGATATTAGCAAGATATCCTTCATACCTAAGGACAACTTGAGTTTCTTTATGACTAAGTAGACGATTTCTTAACATTCGAATTAGTTTTGTTACATCTCGAACATTTTCTGGTTTTCGAAAGCTGTATGGCATCTGTATTAGATCTAACGAGCCGACCCGCGGCGTATCGTATGCCGCTATTTAGTTGTTTTATTTACTACTTTTCAGTAATTCATAATTTGTGAATTGGACAGTACCAGTGCTGCCACTGAAAATATTTGCTTTAAAACACTATCAGTAGGTCGTTAAGGACGATACTACCCCCCTCCTCCTTTCCCCCAACCCCTACCCTACCCCCCCCCCCCCCGTGAAAGCAGCCTCCTCTTAGTTACCTCCCCTAAGTTTAAAATCGTTTCAAACTAAATTATCTGCCCCTAATAGCCGTAACTAAACCCGGCTCTACGATTGTAAAGATTTAGCGTGAACCACAGCTCACCAGACCATGTTGGGTTGTGGGTAGTAGGGAGCGCGCTAGAGAATTATATATAGATAGATACTTAAAAAAGTCAATGATTGGTGGAAAGCTTAAGATATCGTGTTTACAGACACACAGACACTCACACACACACACAGATATATATACACACACAAACACAGACATACGGAAAAGATTGCAAAACAATGTTTTCCGACTAAGGGAGGTGTAAAACGTCGAGATTTGCAAAAATCTTGATTTTTACTTTCTCGTATACAAAGTATAGAGAAAGTATTGTAATCGTGCAAAAAAAAAAATTCGACATTTTTGCAAATGAATTTACAAAGTATTAATATTCCGCACCATTACACACACATTGTTTGCTGATCACCTGATGCGCAATTTTTTTGTTCTACCATATTCTATTCTATTTTAAAAAGTTTAAGTAATCCAAAACTGGATATTTAAACCGGGAGTGATCTCCCCTAAACTTTCTCGAATATTCTTATATAAAACAACAGGGGATGGGAACTCGGGCTATAGACATGATTTTTAATCCATTTTAAATACTTAAAGCTTTTAAATACAGAATAAAATCTCGTAGACAAAAGAATTGCACACCAAGTGAACGCCAAAAAAAAAGTGCATAATAGTGCGCAATATTATTAGTACTTTAAAAATTTACATTAGTTTTTTGAGAAATCGGAAGTAGCGTAAATTACTACTTGCGGTCAAACGGAAATTACTCAAAATTTAACAGAAGGTAGAGAATTAGATCTTATACTTACATGTGAAATTTCATTTATCTATCTGAAATAGTACTCAAGTTATTGGCTTTTGAAAAATTCAAAGTAGAAAAAGTTACACTTCCGGTTATCGGAAATCGTTCAAAAGTTGATATGGATCTACGATTTTGATAAAATACTTATATATGAAATTTAATCAACCTAGCTGTAACGGTACTTAAGTAATCAGTGTTTACACACAGACACACACACACACAGACACACACACACACACAGACAGACACACAGACATACGGACAGAATTGCAAAGCCCAGTTTTTCAGACTGGATTACGCATAAAACCTCTTAATTTTGATAAATCTGGATTGATAATTTTTGCCCGATTAAAATAAGTCCTCTATACTTCGGATATGATGAAGGACTGAGGTGTAATACGGTGAAAAATGTTAAAATTTCAAGCGATTTTTTGCACGATTACAATACTTTCTCTATACTTCGTATATACGAGAAAGTAAAAATCATGTCTATATCCCGAGTTTCATTCCCCGTAGTGTTATAAAAGAATATTCGAGGAAGTTTAGGAAAAATCGTTCCAGCTTGGTATTACTAGGATTGTATGAAACAAAATATAATATATTCCACATTAGATTTTAATAAAATCGAAGACTTGTCGAAAAATCATAAGCAGAATCAAGCTGAATTTGTTAAATTTTTATAATGTGTATAATTTATTAAATATATAATTTGTATTATATGTTTAACATAAAACTTTATATCAATTTCTAGATCCCCCTTGTTTAGATCGCTTGGCATCACAATTCAACAGAGTAGAGGACATATTTTGTATCGTAAGTGTTTTTTCTACGAGATTATATTCTATTTTAAACAGTTAAAGTAATGAAAAATGGATATCCCCAGTTGCCATCCCTCGTTGTTTTATATATAAGTATACGAGAAAGTTTAGGGGAGATCACTCCTGGTGTATTTTTTGCACGATTACAATACTTCCTCTATACTTTGTATACGAGAAAGTAAAAATTTAAGAAATTCTAAATTACTATGCGACAAAAACCAAAAATCGTGGAAATATATAAAAAAGTTATATAACATTTGTATAAACATAAACCTTTTATAATATTTAACCACCTACAACACCTTCCCACCCCACACACACATATACAAATCCCATTGCGTCTTCACTAGATGCAATTGCACAATCAAGTGCTCGACACATTATAAGAAAGAATAACAAACCGCTGTGTAATTCTAAATTGTATAAAATTTTACCTGACCTTAATATGCTATCATATTGATTTGCGACTTGCTACTAAAAAAAATTTGATTAATTTTGTAATATTTTTACTTTCTAGTATACAGTTTATAGAGAAAGTATTGTAATCGTACAAAAAAAAACGTATTTTTTGCAAATCTCGACGTTTTACACCTCCCTGAGTCGGAAAAACATAGTTTTGCAATCTTGTCAGTATGTCTGTATGTGTGTATATGTGTATGTGTGTCTGAGAGCACGAAAACTTCAGTGCCGTTACAGTTAGGTTGATGAAATTTTATATACAAGTATTATAACAAATTTGTAGTTCAGTATCAACTTTTGAGCGATTTCAGATAACCGGAAGTGGAACTTTTTCTACTTTCAATATTTCAAAAGCCTTTAACTTGAGTACTATTTCAGATAGATAAATGATATTTCACATATAAGTAAATGATATAAATCTTTGCCTTCTTTCAAATTTTGATAGATTTACGTTGACCGGAAGTAGTAATTCAGGCTATTTCCGATTTCTCATTAAACGCATGTGAATTTATAAAATACTAATCATATCCCGCACTATTATACACATTTTATTTGGCGTTCACTTGATGTGCAATTCTTTTTTCTACGAGATTCTAATCTATTTTTAAAAGTTTAAGTAAGTAAAAATGGATTTAAAATATTGTGTATATCCCGAGCTGTCATACCCCGTAGTGTTATATAAGAATATTCGATAACGTTTAGGGGAGATCACTCCCGGTTTATTTGATTAATAATCAATAGTGAATAAACGTCTAATTTCATTATCTTATCACTAAATGCTCATGTTCGACTAATTTAGTATTTGATCGATCACCACTACCCATGTCGCGAAGTGTTCGATCAATTTTGGTAATTAATGAGAATTAGAAGTTACATTTTATCACCATATTACAGCATGAATGAATAAGTCTTTTTTTTTTAAATAAATTTCGTATTGTGTTTAAAGTCTGTAAAATATAACTTAAAAATAAACCGGGAGTGATCTCCCCTAAACTTTTTCGAATATTCTTATATAAAATAACAGGGGATGGGAACTCGGGCTATAGACATGATTTTTAATCCATTTTAAATACTTAAAGTTTTAAAAATAGAATAAAATCTCGTAGACAGATTAATTGCACACCAAGTGAACGCCAAATAAAAACGCGTATAATAGTGCGCAATATTATTAGTACTTTAAAAATTTACATTAGTTTTTTGAGAAATCGGAAGTAGCGTAAATTATTACTTCCAGTCAACGGAAATTACTCAAAATTTAACAGAAGGTAGAGAATTAGATGTTTTACTTACATGTGAAATTTCATTTATCTATCTGAAATAGTACTTAAGTTATAGGCTTTTGAAAAATTCAAAGTAGGAAAAGTACCACTTCCGGTTATCGGAAATCGCTCAAAAGTTAATACGGATCTACGATTTTGATAAAATACTTATATATGAAATTTCATCAACCTAGCTGTAACGGTACTCAAGTTATCGTGTTTACACACGGACAGACAGACAGACAGACACACACACACACAGACACACAGACATACGGACAAGATTGCAAAATTATGTTTTTCCGTATCAGTGAGGTGTAAAACGTCGAGATTTGTAAAAATCTCGATTTTTTTTTTTTGCACGATTACAAGACTTTCTCTATACTTCGTATATACGAGAAAGTAAAAATTTAATGTAAAGCAAAAGTAAGAAAATTCAACAACTTTCCCCCTAACTCTAGTCAGGTACTATATATATATATATATATATATATATATATATATATATATATATATATATATAGCTGGACTAACTCTAAGACTTCCATCTGACTTTTAAAGTGAAAGATTTTTAAAATAATATTTTCTTTTAATTTCCTTTAGAATCTGCCGAAGTTTCTTCCACAATTCAAGAATCCATGTTTTTACGACTATCTCTCCGCGGGTAAAAGGAAGCTGCGCTGTCTACCATACTTTTATATCATCGGAATGGCCAAAAGTGGTACCTCGGACCTCCATGCAAGGATGGTCAAACATCCGCTTGTTAACCGCAACGATTTTGGATCTGGTAAAGAAACGCGGTTTTGGTCACGGAATAGATATGGTATGTTGTTGGTTTATAATTTTGACCATTTAGGATCTCTTACCGAATTGGGATGTATAAACTTTTAGGGCTGTTTTTCAAATGAAAATTATAATTACGTATCCAGTAGGTCTACTTTGTACATAGGTATGTCTCCATAGCGTTTTTTTTTTTTTGCTTAATTAATGGTTTAGGGTTACGGTACTTTAATGGGTCGGGTGGTTTTATATGATAAGATTAGATTTATTCGTTAGGTATGTTCTTTGTACATAAAACAAATATGTTAGAGTAGCGTCCCTTCTGGGTTTTTTCTTTTTATTAGTTAGTACTTAATAATTTAGGAAATTAAAATTTACTAGATCTAGATGAGGGTCTAGAGTGTATAGAAGTTAGAAATAGGCTAGTAGGCTATAATATTATAAAACTAGCCGTCTCGGCCAGGCCCTGCACTGGCTTCTCTGAATAACCTATCTGTAAAGGACCTTGACATGTGTGTATAGTAGTCAGCATATATCCGGCATTGTTCGGGTTTAGGAAATATATTACTTTTCGAACCAACCAAAACCAAACACACAAAAAACGCAAATATAACGCAACGCAAGCACAAATAAAAACACAAACACAAACAAAAACAAAAACACAAACATAAACGCCAACAAAAACCGAATCATAAACACAAACACAAACACACAGAAAATGCAAAACACAACAAAAAACTAAAGAAAACAAATACAAACTTAAAACAAAATCCCAACCACAAACACAAACACAAACCAAAACCCTAACACAAAGAAAACACAAACTCAACCAAAAAAGCAAACACAAATACAAATAGCAACACAACCGCAAACCTGAGCGCAAACAAACTCAAAATAATGCAAATAAACGCAAACATAAACACAAACTTAAATGCAAACATAAAAGCATACTGCTCCAAATCGCACCATGCTGAGGCGCCGGCGGAACCGCCTGATTCAACTTAGGGGTCATCCATAAATGACGTCACGCTTTTTTTGACGATTTTTACCCCCCCCCCCCTCCCCTCCGTCACACGTCGTCACAAAAAGTCAGACCCCCCCCCCCCCTAAAATGACGTCACACCTCAACCTACAACCCCCCTCAAAATTGCAGTTGAATTTTTTTTAAACATCGATATTTTTCCAAAATCTTGTCTAAACTATTACAATTTATTAAAACAGTTATCTAAAACGCGAAATAACGTCTAAAATTCGTTTTCTAACATTGCTTTTTTATAATGCAAAAATGTGACGTCGCAACATCTGAACCCCCCCCCCCCCCTCCCCCTCATCACACATCGTCACAAAATTACGGACCCCCTCCCCCCTACGAGTGTGACGTCATTTATGGATGACCCCTTAGTAGACTACTATAATATCCCAACTTATTCTTAGTCTTATGCACTCAATTAAATGAACTAGGGCGCCAAATCAAACCTATAATACTTCAAGCTTATCTGCAAAAGGAAAGATAAAAGTAAACATAGAGGACATTTAGGAGCTGGCTTCTAAGTCGCTATTACTATTGTATTACTGAATTGATGTCTACTATGTATTCAGAGTATCTTTCTTGCATCTTTTCGGACAAGACTTTAAAAATAAATATATATACTTAAACGTATGTCAGTGCTCCTTTCAAGAAAAAAATGTCTGAAAGAAATTCTAAATGCATTGCCTCAACACTCAATATCAATCTACAACAGTCCTTGTATCAGCACCACAACACTGCTCACATTTACCAAATAAAGGCAACGCAAAATAATGACTCCTTGCAACCAACTGTCTTTAAAAATGGGAAATTTCACCTTCACATTTTAACTATTCGTTTTCTAATCGCAAAGGTAACAATAAGACTACCTTGAACATGTACTTAGATATGTTCACACAAACTGCCGAGGACATTGATGGACAAAAAAATTCGGAAATAATTACAGGTAAGTTAAACACCGCATACACAAGTGAATGTAGAGCCAAGTGAAGAAATATAAATCCTGTTTTCTCTAACTATGACTTTGACATCACCAGGCGACGCGTCTCCTATGGATCTCTGGGACTTCCGGGGCTGGCCCATGATCCCTCAGAATGAAGGGCTAAATGAACCACACATCCTTATGCCCCACTTTTTAAAGTACATTTACAAAGGGGCGCCCAAATTAATCATACAGCTCAGGGAACCAATTGAAAGGTCAAATGTTTATTTAAAATACGCATGTTAAGGTTAAAAACATAAGTTTCTAAAGTTGAATCAGTAACATTCACTTATTTATTCTATAAAAGTAATAATTTAATAATTTAAATAATTTTTGAAATCAATCACACGAAAAACTATATAAGTTTTTAGCTGAATATATTATCCCAAATTATTATATAGTATATTTGTATAACAGTGTCCAATTATATATATATATATATATATATATATATATATATATATATATATATATATATATATATATATATATATATATATATATATATATATATATATATATATGAGAGAGAGAGAGAGAGAGGGAGGGATAGAGAGTGAGAGATACATCTATAGATAGACAGACAGACCGACAGACAGTTGGATAAAATTTGCTCAAGCCACATAAAATCATGTCTAAATTTAAATGTTAAACCGAGATATATATTTGGTATAAATAACTACTTTTTATATGCTAAAAGCAGCAGAATGAATATTTTTACGTGATTGTAAATTTCTGCCTACACATTACATGTAATTCCTTGGTTATCTATCTAAGAATTTGGTACGTTTCCAGGTGCCTAAGAAGAAACCCTATTACGGGGTGCATTGTCAAAACGGCCCGGGATAATTCGGCCCCGTCAAAACGGCCTCGTTAATATGTCGCTTACCCTTTTGACGGGGCCGATTTGTCGGGGTCGTTTTGACGAGGCTGCTTTGTCATTGGCCGTTTTGACGCCGCACGCTTATCCACTTACCAATTAATGTCAAGTTACAAAAAATTTAGTTGACAATATAGGTCAGTTTTCTGTCACTTTTAACCAGAGTATTGAGAGGGCTATAGATCTAGTCTTTTATTCGCTACATAGTATACTGAATCACTTAAAACTTAATTGCTCGTTAACTACCTGCAAATACAGATCTCATTTTTATAATATATATATATATATATATATATATATATATATATATATATATATATATATATATATATACATATATATATATATACATATATATATATATATATATATATATATATATATATATCCTGATATATATAGAATTGTCAGGTAGATTGAATGAGTTGTCTGGTTAGCTAGGTAAGTAGAGAGGTTGCTTCATGCTGAATGTTGCATAAACAAATATAACTGGCCTTTGGATTGCACCATTATCTTAGACACTTTATTAAAGAATTCTTTAATAAACTATAATCGTTGTTTTCTTAAATATCTCTATTATAGATACTATAAGTGAGGAAAGTATGTAAATTTAGATGCCTTTGAGTCAATATTATATTTTAAAACATATTTTCATCACATGAGTCTGGTTGTATTTCCCGCCAGACTCTACTCCGACTATGTTTTCCTGGGCTACGGCACTAACCCTATTGAGTTCCACAACCACACTCTCCAAGCCATAGACATGTTGAACGCCTGTCTCAAGAACCACACCACCAGGTTTTGCTACTTTGATAACGACATGTACCAGAAGCTACCGGTAATTTTGTATTTAATAATTATTTTCATTAATGAAACCAAACCAGAATAGCCTTGAAATTATTTGAGAGGCCTATAAAATATGTTATTTTAAATCGTGTACGATGGTATTAAAGGAAATATGGCTGTAAAAGTCTGACAGTAAAATATTGAACGTATTTAATGTTTTTAATATTTACGGTAATCAATCAATTTTTTTAAAAGGCCAAAAACTATTTGGTTGTTTCATGTTGTCACTGGAAATATACGTAAGCATGGCATAACTAGGTCATGTGGTTTAAAAACTAAAATTGTATTGAAACATTTTATCGGCAAAGTCTTGAGGTCAAATTACTCTTGCGTGGAGTTTATAGAAGATCAATCAAGGAGTTTCAGTGCAGCGAATTAATGCTTGTTTTGATTAAAATAATTAGAAATGTAGCTTTAAACACACTAAAAATAGTTGCAATTCTCTAAAACCTTATCGCATTGAATCTTAAAATATTAAAGTTTTGAAGTATTTTCAACGTTAAGTAGTTTATTTTTTTACAGCCGCTATGAAGGCAAACGGATAAAAATAAAAAATTTTATCCATGTCAACAATTATGATGGAGGAATTCTCGTCAACTCGTTTGTGTCCATTGATGAGTACTCTTTTTAAAAAACTACTTCGAAAACAAAATATATTTTTTATATTACTAAAAAACAAATCTTAAATTTTTAACGCTAATATTTTAAAATCCAGATAGATCTTATGTCCTAAATTATTTGCTTGATTTGGTTTATTTTCCTTTCAAATATTACTATGTCACATACACGTTTTATAGCAAAACTAACCTACCCGTCATCCCTTGGATAACTGTGGGTTTCGGGGGTCATCCATAAAACAAGTTAATTAAAAAAGTCTAGTGACATTTATGCGCAATTTCCTTATGTTATCTAAAAATAGCTCTGACGTATAATGCTGTGGTGCGTTCAAGCTAGAAGAACGATCGGTTTGTAGGTGTTTATGTAATTTTAAAATTTGTGACCGAACGAGAGGATATTTTTGAAAACTTTCTACGGCAATATTGTTCTAAATTATGGCAGGAATCGATTGGTACATGTTTCAAGTCGCTAAGTGGTCTGGTTGCCGAGATATGGGCAAAAAACTGATTTTTTTTTTCGAGGTTTTTTGGCTTTTCCGGGAAATACATGAAAGAAACCCGGAATTTTTATGGCCTATGCTCATTCTTGTAACTTGCTTAACATAATTGCTTTTGGAACTAGTCATCGATATTGCTTCGTTGAGGAGGAGATACGACTTAAAGCCCGGACACACATTCATCCATACATTCATTCATTCATCCATCCATTCCCAGAAATGACGAGTTAATAAACGCAATTCTCCAGGATGGAAATTGCGCTAAAAACATCACGTCTCTCACTTATCGTCACAAAAAACCAAACCTCACATTCAAAAAGACGACACACCTCAGACGTTTTTTTTTTTTCTTTTAAAAACACCGATTTTGGCTGAACATGGGTCTGTCAAAACAATCTATTCTTAGGTCACAAAAATAGGTCAACTCTACTTCACCTTCCCAGTGTCCTCCAAACTGAGACATGATTTTGTCTTTGAAAACACAGACTTCGGCTGAGCATGGGTCTGACCACACTATCTCTTCATATCCTGGCGTCACCGGAGAACTATACCCAACTCTACTTCACCTGCCCAGTGTTCCGCAAAGTCTCAGACAACATGTTTTGTCGCTTTAAAAAACAGTCAAGCTGAGCATGTCTCTGACCACACTATCCCTTCATATGCCGAGGACAAAGAAACAGGTGAACTCTACTTCACCTGCCCTGTATCCCGCTAAGTCCCGATAGGCAACTTTATCATTCACATCTTAAAATAACAACTTAGATATCTAGACTCGTGATGTCATTGACGTTTTTTGTATTATATATTAATAGTTTGAGTCTGCTTAAGAAACTTGATTAACGCGAATAGGTCATAGATCGAGTATCTTTTAAATTAAATTGTATCTTAAATTAGCCAATTCCGTAGCTAAACAAACAAAGATGTATATACAATAATGAAGGTCTGAAATATTTTAGTATAGAAACTCATAATAATCTAGATCTAGCTAGAGTTATCTAGATTCTACGACTGGTTTGGTTAAGTCGAGATTCTTGAATTAGATTATCCGTGAAGCTAAAAAGCAAATATTTATATCAAATATTTAAGGACTAAAATAGTTTAACAAAGAAACTCAATAAATTATTCTGATTTTAAAATGATTTTTATTTTTAACTAATTAAATTTAATTTGACCTAGATTGTAGATCTATAAACAACTTTCTTCGACAGCTGATCTTTAGATTCTTGATCTAGAGAAATGTATTGTATATTTAATAGAAAAGGACTGTTGAAGATTGAGATTAGCGTTGGAACGTAATAGAAATAGCAGACGGACGTATCGTTAAAGCTATAGCCGACAGAAAATTAGCTTTAGAACGCGTTAAACGTTGGAATGGGTAACAAAATCTGGTATGGAAGCCGCCATTATTGTTGTAAAAAGTAAATAAATCATGTGACGTCACTATTCACTATAAGTAAAGTCATTGTTCTGAACTATTATAATTATTATGGTTGATCCACCAATGAATAAATCAATAAATTAATTAACGTCTTTAAATAAATGTATGATTAACACTCCATCTAAAAACAAAAATTGTTCTCTACCTAATTACGAATTGTAATAGTGCAGATTCTCTCATGTAACCAAACGTACAAACAAACAAAAAAATTAAAAAAAAAAAATATTCAAACATGTAAACAAACTTGAGTATTAGATAGATGGACAAGTTAAAATTTTGTTTTAAAAACTCGGATGTTTTCATAGCGAAACGAAATAAAAATGCTCTCAACTACATGTTAAAATAAATTACATACCATCCCCAGGCCAGAGTCCATCTTGGGTGCTACTCGGTGTTTCTCAAAGAATGGTTTCGGGTTTTCCCGAGAAGCGCATTTCACGTGACGCGCACAACTGAATACAAAAACGACATGGAGGGGACCCTGAAGGGTGTGTTCGACTTTCTGGACATACGTGAGTACATATTCGCTTCATTGGTTTTAGCAATAGTCACGGTGAAGTGGGCAAAAGGGGGGGGTGTCTATTGTAAACTTATTTGTAGCTTTGTTTACAACATAGACAATAACCCATTTTTACTTTCTCGAATATACAAAGTATAGAAAAAGTCTTTAATCATGCAAAAAAAAATCGAGATCTCTCGACGTTTTATAGCTCCCTGAGTAAAAAAAACAACATAGTTTTGCAATCGTGTCCGTATGTCTGTGTGTGTGTATGTGTGTGTGTGTCTGTAAACACGATAACTTGAGTACCGTTACAGCTAGGTTGATGAAATTTCATAGATAGGTATTATATCAAATTTTTAGATAAGTATCAGCTTTTGAGCGATTTCCGATACCCGGAAATGGAACTTTTTCTACATTCAATTTTTCAAAAGCCTATAACTTGAGTACTATCTCAGATAGATAAATGAAATTTCACATGTAAGTAAAAGATCTAATCCTCTACCTTCTGTCAAATTGTGAGTAATTTCAGTTCCCCGGAAGTAGTAATTTACGCTATTTCTGATTTCTCAAAAAACGCATGTGAATTTATAAAGTACAAATAATATTTCGCACTATTATGCACATTTTGCTCCATGGGTGTCAGCTTAATAGGCCAATGGAATGGAATGGGTCTCTTGTGAACTCACTGACAACGTTGTTTGCAATGTTCTTAAAAAAACTGTTATTAACTAGTTCCGTGTAACATAGTTGAACTAGTTGAATTACAAATATACTTTCCTTTAAACCAAATGTTTTAGTAGAAATGCTAGAATATTTCTGAATGTGAGTTTTAATGCCTGTTGCTACAATTTGATTTCCTTAAATCAACAGCGCACCCTACAAGTTCACAAATGGAAGACATTGTGAATATGACAAGGCGTCGAGTGACGGTTAAAAAGGAGGGCGTGGCACTTCCGGAAACAGTGAAAGTCTTGCGGGAGTTCTACGCTGATTGTAACAAGGAAGCGGCTGAACTGCTGGCAGATGACCGTTTTTCATGGAAGGACCACTACTCTTGATGTTTTCTTAAGTGATTTTTTTCATGGTTCTTTCCCTTGATTTTAATTTTCTAGAGAATAAATTAAATTATCTTAATGAAGGGACAAATTATTTGTTATGTCTGTTAAATATATTATAAAATTTCGGCAAATAAATCAAAACAGAATCGGTGCATTCCAAATCTATAGGGTGCAGAGACATTCTACGAGCCAATTTCCAAGCAATGTAAAAATGATGTTGAATGAAAACAGTTATTATTATAAACTTAGCTTTGACAGCCTATAGAATCCTAGGAAGGTCAAATATGTAGATTTCAGAGGACTAGTCCTTAAGTCAAAATCTAAAGTATCGAAAGGTAACCTGCGTGGTCGGGTCGGTAAAGAAGATGGCGTGCTAAACCGAAACCCCTGAGTTCCAACCCTAGTGCAGATTAGGCTTGCCATCTGGGGACAGCAACCTATCTAAGTAACAAGAACTCCGAAACTGAAATAGGCAGTCAAAAAAGGCAAATAATAATTCGGGTGGGGGTCGTGTGCTGAGACTAGACGTGTATCCTGTGGAAATGCTACTTGGGAAAACTATCATTTTCACATATAAAGACATTCGTACATTAGGTATAAAATAAAATACTTCTTTATTTATTCTAAGCAGAAAAAGCTATATGGTTTATACAAGAAATGAAACTGCTGTATAAACTAGGAAACTAAGTCAAGGTGGTCTGTAGTGCAAATTTATTTACTTGTTTATCAAATAGGCTAGTTCTAAACCAGATCGAGTCCCTAGAATAAGACTTCAGCGGTAGATTAAAAAAAACAGACAAGGGAATTAACCAGGAGAGTCATACGCAGTCACATTATCAGATCAGAGTAGCGCCCCTGCCGTACTGCTGACATTTGTTTACCTTTGGGTTCTCTGAAACATTTTTACGGGTTGTAAAAATGGTTTCTTGTGCATTGTTGAGAAGTGTGTGTGTGTGTGCATAGGTGGGGGGTCCAAAATCCGTTGAAAAATAAAAGAAAAGAGGGATGTCAAAAGCGTAAAGAGAGATGTCAGTGTTAACTCGAGGCAAAGACAATTTTAATATAGTTCACGGGAGTTTTTATTGTAGGTTACAACTAAAATAAATGTTAAATGACAAAGTATTCTATTTCACCAGAATGTCATTATCGTCACAGAGCCTAATTTTTTATGATGCCAGACGATAAATACAAAGCGTTGTTGTTTTTTTCGTTTATTTCCAAGGTTTATTCGACATTTCAACAATGTATACTTTAATTAATTCTAGTTATTGTTCTTGACCTCGACATATGAAGAGATGGTGTGGTCAGCTCTATACCAGGCCACTTTAACTTTAATCTACCTAAGCCAGGATCCTATCAGAGCTGGGTGGACTTTAGGGACGTCCTGCGGTCACAACTCGAGTCCGAACTCGAGACTTTGTGGCCAGCAGCCAAACCCTCTACATTACGACCACCCCGTCGTATTTATAAAACCGTTTTAATACGACTTCCGATCGCTGTGTCACCTGGATGTAGACAGCAAGAGGCGAGCTTAACACGACAATGGGAAAGTGGTTTTACAGGTGAGTGAACTCAACACTCAGCGGCAGAGGCGTAGCGACCCTTCCCGGGGACAAACTTTTTGATTTGCACCCCCACCCCTCAAGATTTCGATTTGTACCCCCCCCCCTCCCAAACTTTCGATTTGCACCCCCTCAACCTTTCAATTTATTTTTCCAACCCATTTTGGCGCCCTCTAAGGTCGGCACCCGGGGACATATGTGTCCCCCCCCCCGCCCCGCCCCGCCCCCCTCGCTACGCTACTGCTGAGCGGCACCTGTGGAGCAAATAGCCGAAACTTCACGTGACCAACGTCATTTTGAGTTGCATTATTGAATCATACACATTCGAAGAATACAGAATACTACATAGCTTTACGGATTTATAAAATTAGTTTTACATCAATTCTCTGACGCTAAAACAAAAAGTATTAACCAATCATGCAACGTTCATTAAGACAAAGAGAGGGCAAGGATTGGTGCAGCTACAGGTATGAGTAAAGGTAAAGAAATAGATAAGTGATAGGAATAGGTGCTGGGGAAAAATTGAATAGGGAATTAGAAAGGGTAATCAATAGGAATAACGACGTTGAGAATGAAATGGAATAGGGACAGAAAAAGGAAAACGGTAAGGTTTAAGTCTGTGATAGCGTAAGGGATAAGGATAGGGATAGCTACGGATATAGGTAAGGGATAGCAATGGGGAAAGTGAAAAGGGATAGGGAATAGATCGGGGAATGGATTGAGAAAATGAATTGTGATATAGACAGAGATAGCGAGTGGGATATGTTTAAGATAAGGATAAGATTAGCGATAGCAATAGCAATAGATAACCATGAATATAAAGATATGGATATGTATAGGATAGAGAATAACTAACTTTGCCTACTTCTTAAATAAAGGATTTGGGAACGTTTCAACGAATTCACTGAAAGAGAGAAGGATGTAAAATTGAGTTACAATATTTACCACAGAAGGAACACAAATGTGAACTAAATAAATTTAAAAAACCGCGAGTGATCTCCCCTGAACTTTCTCGGATATTCTTACATAACACTACGTGGGATGGCAACTCGGAATATAGACATAATTTTTAATTACTTAAACTTTTAAAAATAGAATAGAATCTCGTAGAAAAAGAATTGCGCACCAAGCGAAGCTAAAACAAAATGTGCATAATAGTGCGGAATATTATTAGTACTTTTTTACTTTCTCGTATATAGGCCTACGTAGTTTAGAGAAAGTATTGTAATCGTGTGTGTGTGTGTGTGTCTGTGTTTGTGTAAACACGATAACTTGAGTACCGTTAAAGCTAGGTTTTTGAAATTTCATATATAAGTATTTTATCAAAATCGTAGATACGTATCAACTTTTGAGCGATTTCCGATAACCGGAAGTGGTACTTTTTCTACTTTGAATTTTTCAAAAGCCTTGAGTACTATTTCAGATAGATAAATGAAATTTCACATGTAAGTAAAAGATCTAATTCTCTATCTTCTATCATATTTTGACTAATTTCCGCTGACCGGAAGTAGTATATTACGCTATTTCCAATTTCTCGAAAAACACATGTAAAAATAAACCGGGAGTGATCTCCCCTAAACTTTCTCGAATATTCTTATATAAAACAAATAGGGATGGGAACTCGGGATATAGTTATGATTTTTAATCCATTTTAAATACATAAACTTTTTAAACAAAATAGAATCTCATAGAAAAAAGTATTGCACACCAAGCGAACGCCGAATAAAGATGTTCATAATGGTGCGTAATATTATTAGTACTTTATAAATTTAGATGCGTTTTTGAGAAATCGGAAATAGCGTAAATTAGTACTTCCCGTCAACGGAAATTACTCAAAATTTAACAGAAGGTAGAGAATTAGATCTTTTACTTACATGTGAAATTTCATTTATCTATCTGAAATAGTACTCAAGTTATAGGCTTTTGAAAAATTCAAAGTAGAAAAAGTACCACTACAGACATACGGACAAGATTGCAAAATTATGTTTTTCCGTATCAGTGAGGTGTAAAACGTCGAGATTTGTAAAAATCTCGATTTTTTTGCACCCATCCTTACAAGACTTTCTCTATACTTCGTATATACGAGAAAGTAAAAATCATAAAAATATAAAGGAAATCTTCATACACGAGTTAGAGGAACACGGTATAATTGTTAGAACGCTAACTGTGCTAACCGTTTCTCCAACAACCTTGCCGAATTGATTTGTTTTAAAATATATTTTTAACACCAGATGTCACACAAATTATAAACCAGTAAATCTAATGATGCGCGGAGGTCAAACGCCAGTAACAAAAGGACATTCGAAGCAGCTCTTTTGTATCTACGCGATGACGTTAGAACTAAATACGTGATGTTCTCTTTGTTTTACTTTCTCGCATACGATGTAAAGAGGAAGTATCTATAATTCTGTACAAAATCGTAATGGAGAGTTTTTACAAATATCGATTTTTAAAACCATCCCTCAGTCGGAAAAGCTTAGTTTTGCAATTTTGTATGTAAGTCTGTCTGTCAGTGTGTGTAAGTGTGTGTGTTTGTCATTTGTCCGTCATGCTCTGAAACTTGCGAGCGCAAATTCGATATCGGGAATATCTATTTCCAACTTTTCACGTAGGTCAAAATATTAAAATGTTACGTAATTAGATGATTAATAGACTAATTAATCAAGTTTTTTTTTAAATATATGTTTGATATAGAACTAAAAATTTGATTAATACTTATATATGAAATTTCGTCAACCTAGCTATAACGGTAATATATATATATATATATATATATATATATATATATATATATATATATATATATATATATATATATATATATATAATTGTATTTGTGTGCGTGTGTGCGAATGTATGATATGTTTGCGTGTGCGTGTTCTATGCCTAAGACTATATTCGAATTTTAAACCTCACTTTCTTTATAACCCAATTCGTTAAGGATACTTATCTTTAACATAAGAGTAGTTGGAAATTAAATGTGAAAACACCTGTTACAAGTAGATTCATCGGTTAGAAGATCAATCTATACTTGACAGGACGAATACGATTCTGAGGTAAAAAATCGTTTTACATTTTTATGTCAATAAATAGATATAAATATCTTACTGTTAGATTTTTTTATAATAGGTAACAAAGTATTCTTATGGATGTACATTTAAATAACATTAGGGTAAGATTGTGTTTACATTAATAGGATTCTTTGAGGTAAAGTATACCAATTCAATCTTTAGATTTGAAGAACGTATCGAAATAAAGATTAATATAACGAACACGTAGCAATACACAACAGAAATTTAAAAATATTTTTTTTTCTAATGGAAGTTAAGTGAACTGTTATCAATAAATTAATGTAATTAATTTTTTTTTTTTTTTGATTCTAGTTTTTCCACAGCGATGATGTCAAGCATAAAGTTAAATTGTCTGTCGTCATTTTTAAAAACACGGTGAGTTGTCAGGAAAACATTAGAAGTAATCAGGTTGATTTTGTAAGTTGTCAGGTAGATTAGGCAAGTTGTCAGGTAGACTAGGTTAGTTGTCAAGTAGATTAGGTTAGTTGTCAGGTAGACTAGGTAAGTTGTCAGGTAGACTAGGTAAGTTGTCAGGTAGATTAGGTTAGTTGTCAGGTAGACTATGTAAGTTGTCAGGTAGACTAGGTAAGTTGTCAGGTAGACTAGGCAAGTTGTCAGGTAGACTATGTAAGTTGTCAGGTAGACTAGGTAAGTTGTCAAGTAGACTAGGTAAGTTGTCAGGTAGATTAGGTTAGTTGTCAGGTAGACTAGGTAAGTTGTCAGGTAGACTAGGTAAGTTGTCAGGTAGACTAGGTAAGTTGTCAGGTAGACTAGATAAGTTTTCAGGTAGATTAGGTTAGTTGTCAGGTAGACTAGGTAAGTTGTCAGGTAGATTAGGTTAGTTGTCAGGTAGACTAGGTAAGTTGTCAGGTAGATTAGGTTAGTTGTCAGGTAGACTAGGTAAGTTGTCAGGTAGACTAGGTAAGTTGTCAGGTAGACTAGGTAAGTTGTCAGGTAGACTAGGTAAGTTGTCAGGTAGATTAGGTAAGTTTTCAGGTAGATTTTGTAAGTTGTCAGGTAGACTAGGTAAGTTGTCAGGTAGACTAGGTAAGTTGTCAGGTAGATTAGGTAAGTTGTCAGGTAGATTAGGTTAGTTGTCAGGTAGACTAGGTAAGTTGTCAGGTAGACTAGGTAAGTTGTCAGGTAGATTAGGTTAGTTGTCAGGTAGACTAGGTAAGTTGTCAGGTAGACTAGGTAAGTTGTCAGGTAGACTAGGTAAGTTGTCAGATACACTTGGTAAGTTGTCATGTTATTACTAATAAATCAAATAGACATGGCAAGTTAGGGATTTAGTTGTTGATCTATCTGGTTAGCCATTGTTGTTTTTTGTTCTTCAGAAAATTGCAGATATTAATCCTCCTAATCTCTGCAACGGTCTTAGTCCTGGTCCGCCCACAACTGTCCTGGTCAAGCGTCTCTAGGATGACCATCCAGCGAAGCACTAACTGCGAATCTTTAGGTAATTGGTTTGTACAGAGAAATATGTGTACATTTTTACGTTTTTATATATCCTACAGAGTATGGACAAGGTATTGTAATTGTGGTGAATAAACAAATGAGGTTTTGACAGTTTTCACCGTTTTACCAATATCCACTTTGTCATATTCTGAAAAATAAAGAAAGCAATGTAAACGTGCAAAAATTTGAATTCAGGTTTTGACACATCTTAACGTTTTATTCCTTCCGGAACCGGATCAGCCATGCTTTGCTATCCTACTAGTTTGTGTGTTTGCTTGTAAACACGATAACTTGAGTAGCTTTTAAGCTACACTAATCAATTTTTTTTTATCTTTCTTTTAGTTTCCGATCTACTTTTCAGCGATTTCCGGTAACTAAAAGTTATACGTACTCTTCTTCCGGCCTCTCAAAAGCTGATAAGTTGAGTAGCATTAAACAGATTGTATCCGGGGGTTCTTTTTAACCTTTGTACGATTTCCGGTAACCAGCTCTAATTCCTTGGGCATACCATTACTTAAATATTGTTTTATTTTGGTAGACGAAATTCCCTTTATAAGTAGAAGATCTTAAAGGTGAATGACTCTCGAAATAACCACCGATATCCGGAATCAGTACTTTAATATATTTCTGGTTTCTAAAATACAGATAACGTAAGTCCCATTTCAGTTAGAATTAGATGAACGAATTATTTTAATAAACAATCAAAAGATTTTAATCTCTAGATTTTCGTCGATTTTTAATTGATTCCCGGTGATCGGAAGTGATGGGTTACAGTTTTCCGATTTTTGAAAAAAATGTAATTTCTAGTGGACTGATTTGTTTCTAACTTTGCACGCAATGACTATGGTAACAGGATACATTGAAAACACGTTACAAAAGATAAAATATGTATATCGCTCTTAATACACCCACCGTGTTAAATTAACACTAGCTACATACCTGTGCTCCGCCACGGTGTATCTTTTTTAAATGTACCAAATTGGGAACAGAACAACGTTATATTATCAATGTTGAAATCACCTACATTTATTTTTATTTCAATAAAAGTAGTTTATTTATTTATTAGCAGTTCCGTTATCTTTTCCCCTTTGTGTCCGACTCATGGGGTGAATGAAGTAGAGTTCATCTGTTTAAATTGCCTCAGAAATTACCACTCAGAAACACCCTACACAAACGATACCAGGATCCGAACTCGAAACGTTCGAGTTAGCAGGCGTAAGCTCTGCCATCCGAGCACGCCGTCACACCAGTTCTAAACAGATTCCTTCCAAATAACTTGGCTAAATATTTCCAGAGCCGTCATGTTTGGATCCTCTAGCAACAAAATTCAACAGAGTGGAGGACATTTTTTGTATTGTGAGTACACTGGGTTATATCTAAAGCTTTAGTCACTAAATATCTAAGTTCTTTTTTTTATTACTGACCAATGCTTTTACATATATACCTTTGTCTACTACAGAAGATTTTTTAAAAATTCTAATTCACACAATTTTTAAATTCTGCATCTTTTCAATCTTCTCTGCTTAGTCAGGATTATTGAATAAAAATTTCTCACAAAAATTATGAGCACAGTTTTAAAAGCTAAAAATTAGTTTTTTAAAGAACCTTTATTGTAACGATAGGTTGTTGTTGAATTTTTCATATTACTTTTTTTCCACCAGAAATTACCCAAGTTCGTTCCGGGACTCAAAAATCCATGTTTTTACGAATATGTTGAAACGAATAAAAAGAAGCTACGCTGTCTGCCATACTTTTATATCATCGGAATGGACAAAAGTGGTACAACGGACCTCCATGGTAGGATGCTCAAACATCCGCTTATCTTAAGCAACACTGGATTTTTGCAAAAGGAGACAACCTTTTGGTCTTGGTCAAGATACGGTAAGTAATTGGGGGGGGGGGGGGAGTACATATGTCTTCGGGCGCCGACCCTAGGGACGCCAAAATGGGTTGGAAAAAATTAAAAGCTCATTTAGGCTGTAGTTTTGAATTATATATGTAAAAAATACATGGGAGGGGGGCGCCAGATTGAAAGTTGGTTCCCGGGCCCCAGGAGGGGTCGCTGCGCCTCTGAATTACCATGATGGTCATATACAGGCATTTATATTTATCATATTTCACTTCTTGAATGGTTTTGGAAATATTTCAATTATTATTTTAGGCTTATCTAAAAATGGCCAGAAGGCTAACTGTTGATCCCAAAGTCTAAAGTAATACAAAATACTAAATGTGGCGAATTTATATTCAACGCAATAGCCGTGAAGACAGTGTTGTGTGTATTATCTTAATTGGTTCGGAATCAATGTTGCGAAAAGATCAACATGGTTTATATCTAATAAATTTATAATCCATCTCCTATTTTCAGCTATATGGAATAAAAATAAAACTGGCAAGGAAAAGATTACATTGGACATGTACATGGACATGTTTTCGCAAACTGCTGAACAAATTGAAAACGAAAACAAGGAAATTATTACAGGTGAGAGAGAAAACATCGTAGGTAAAAGTGAAGGTAAATGTTCTGATTATTTAAATGTAGTGCGGTACAACTACGGTGAGGGAGATATCACACCTCTGTCTAATACCCCCCCCCCTCTAGGTCATTCCCCTTCCCCATACTAATCTTAGTTGAATCACCATACATAATCCCCCCCCCCCCCATGTGACTTTGACGGGCTGAAACAAAATTTCTTATACAATTTATTTTTCCGTGCTGTTCCAAGCACATTGTTTGCGTTCATTTTGTGTGAAATTATTTTTAGTCATGCAATGCTGCTGGATTAAAAATTTTAGAGTATTAAAAACTGCTTAAAAAATACGTTTTAGAAACAAGCACAAAAAAAGTGTTAAAAAAACTGATTTTCTTTAAACATAATATAATAATAATCCATTACAATGTAAATAACTATAAAGAAAAGCAAATGCGATGTTGCTAAGCTTTATGCATTGTATTTAAGTAAAGTAAAAAACATTACAATAAAAGAATAAACTAACTCCATTAGTGTACAGTAAAACATAATAGTGTAGAGAAAAAAAAACATTCATCGTATAGTAACCTTGACATCACCAGGTGACGCTACTCCGATGGATCTCTGGGACTTCCGGGGCTGGCCCATGATCCCCCAGAATGAAGGGCTAAATGAACCACACATCCTGACGCCCCACTTTTTCAAGTACATTTACAAAGGGGCGCCCAAATTAATCATACAGTTCAGGGAACCGATTGAAAGGTTAAAAAATAATTATATATATATATATATACATATATATATATATATATAAATATATATATATATATATATATATATATATATATATATATATATATATATATATATATATATATATACATGGGTGTTTGTGTGAAAGTGTGTGAGAGTGAGTTTGCATATGTGTGTGAATGTGTATGTATGTGTGCATGTGTTAGACAGTAAAACACAAGAATTCTCATGTTTAAATTCTCATGATTCTTAAATGGCATTCTTTTTGTTTATTCCCTTAAAAAGTTAGCTCTAGTACAAAGATTAACAAAGACCTTCTGATATTTTTATTTACCATTTTCACATTATCGCAACATTAACATTAAAGTATGTGTGCATTCAATGGAAAAATGTTAATTACATTATCATCACATTTAATTTATTTTGATCCCCCCCCCCCCCCCCGCCAGACTCTACTCCGACTACGTATTCCTGGAATATGGCAAGAACCCTCTAGAATTCCACAACCACACTCTCCAAGCCATAGACATGATGAACGCCTGTCTCAAGAACCACTCAACCAGGTTCTGCTACTTTGATTTTGACTTGTACCAGAAGCTACCGGTAATTTTATTCCTTAAGAAATGGATTTTAGTTCGTAGTTTTACTTTCTTGTGTGTGTTCGTGTGTGTGTGTGTGTCTGTGTGTGTGTCTGTGTGTGTGTCTGTGAATACGATAGCTTGAATACCGTTTCAGCTAGGTTGATGCAATTTCGTAAATAAGTATTACATAAAATCTGTAGTTCTGCGTCAACTTTTTAGCGATTTCCGATAACCGGAAGTTGAATTTATTCGGTTTGAGTACTGTTTCTGACAGATAGACGAAATTTCACAGATAAGTAAAAGATCTAATATCTGTTTTCTTTCAAATTTTGATTTATTTACAGTGACCAGAAGTAGTACTTTACGCCATTTTCGATTTCTCAAAAAACGCATATGAATTTGTAAAGTACAAATATTCCGCACTATTATACATACATTGTTTGCTGTTCACTTGTTGTGCAATTATTTTCCCTACGAAATTCTCTTCTACTTTACAAAGTTGAAAGTATGTATAAATTGATAAAAAAATCATGTCTATATCTCAAGTTTGCCATGCCACGTAGTGTTATATAAGAATGTTCAATAAAGTTTAGGGGAGATCACTCCTGGTTTATTAAATCATGACTTTGGTAACATATTTTTAAGCTTGTTTGTGCAACTTAATAGACAGGAGTATAGCGAAAATGTTCATGATTATTATTATCGCTATTTTAAAAAGTGATTTTTTTTAAATCTCTAATGATACTGTTCCTTTAATTTTTATATTCACTTTCATTGGTAAGTTCAAAAGAAAATGACATATAAGCACAGATAGTTTTATTGTTATCTTTTCCCGTTCGTCCCCAAGACACATGGAGCAGGTGAAGTAGAGATCATCTGTTTTAAAATTACCTCGGCATATGAAGGGATAGTGTGGTCAGCACTCTGCCCAGCCGCCTTTGCTTCCCCTAACTTGAGTTAGGTACTAATAGAGGCTGGGTGGACTCAGGAACATTCTACTGACTTGAACGTGGATTCGAACTCGAGACTAAATACAAATACTTTAACATACATTTCAAAATATTACAATTTCTACTGAGGCTAGTAATTTTCATAATTCAGGTCAGAATCCATCTTGGGTGCTACTCGGTGTTTCTCAAAGAATGGTTCCGGGTTTTCCCGAGAAGCGCATTTCACGTGACGCGCACAACTGAATACAAAAACGACATGGAGGGGACCCTGAAGGGTGTGTTCGACTTCCTGGACATACGTGAGTACATTTTCGCAGTATAGGCGCCGGGACGGGGTTCTTTAAAAGAACAACAAATCGTATCCCATAATTTCTCGGCATATCGAATTTAATTTCCCTCTATCATCAGCTCCCCTCACAAGTTCAGAAATTGAAGACATCGTGAATATGGCTAGGCGTCGGGTGACGGTTGAAAAGAAGGGCGTGGCACTTCCGGAAACAGTGAAAGTCTTGCGGGAGTTCTACGCTGATTGTAACAAGGAAACGGCTGAACTGCTGGGAGATGACCGTTTTTTATGGAAGGACCACTACTCTTGATGTTTTGTTGAGTGTTTTATTTTCACGGTTCTTGCCCTTTGATGAAATTTGTTGCCATTTAATTTGTAGAAAAATAAACTGTTTAAATTAATTGAAAAATGACTTTATTTCTGTAAAACATTTAAAACACTTTTAGCACAGTATCCAGGCAATGCAATATGTACGCTTAGTCATTATATAGAATGCGTTTTTCAGTAAAGAAGTTATGTGGAGTAATAGTCCTTATTTTGTTGAGACATTTTTATTTATAAACTGTAAACTGTATAATCCTTTTAAAAAAGTGAAATACGTAGACAGTAGAGCAGGGGTTCCCAACCCCGTGCCCGCGCCCGCCGAACGATTCGTATGTGCCCGCCTCTCACTATTCGACAGAGACAGAATTTTTTTGATAAACATTATTGAAAGGTTGAAGGGGATGGAAATCGAAAGTTTTAGGGGGGGGGGGTGCAAATCGAAAGTTTGAGGGGGGGGTGCAAATCGAAAGTTTTGTCCCCGGGTGACGGGAAGGGTCGCTACGCCTCTGGAAGGAGTTTGTCGATTTAAAATAGGTGGTGCCCGCCACCCTACCGATATTTTAGAATGTGCTCTAGAGTAAAAAAAAAAAAAGGTTGGGAACCCCTGCAGTAAAGTGTAGAGGATTCGAATAACTAATCATTTTTAAATTTAAAAAAAAATATATCAAAATTTACCAGTACATGCCATCAATGTTTTAAATCAGAAAATATCCAAAATTAAAAATTAAAATATAAAATCTAACTAGTAGATTTACGCCTACATACTGTAGGTCAAAACAGTGGCGTAGCGAGGTCGGGTGTCACCCGGTGCGGCACTTAATGGTGTCACCCCCCCAGAGGCATAGAGACCCTTCCCAGGGACAAACTTTCAAATTTTCGATTTGCACCCCCCCCTCAAACTTTCGATTTGCACCCCCCCCCCTCAAGTTTTCGATTTGCACCCCCCCCCTCAAACTTTCGATTTGCACCCCCCCCCTCGAGTTTTTCTCTATATATTTTGCTATTTTTTGCCTTGGTGTCACCCCCCTAAATGGTGTCACCCGGTGCGGTCCGCACCCCCCGCCCCCCCCCACGCTACGCCCCTGGGTCAAAATAATCCTAATAATAATTTACTATAATTTGTACCCATTTTTAAATATTCAATTAGATTTATAAAGAATTAGTTAACACTGCTATACCAGTGATATTCTTGCTGTACTTGTGTCTGTATTTGCCATTCACTATAAATTTCAAGGCGACGAGATAAAAAATTGTGTTTCTTATGTACCAGATCAAAGTGTTATGGAGATGTTTATAAATCGACCGTATCGATTTATTTTCTTTAGATTAATTGTGGCCTTAATATGTCGTGGGAATTATTTTGTTGTGTCATTAATTACGAGTTTCTGGAGTGGTTATATCAGCGTTTTTAAAACGTATTATAATCGGGTTGGAATTCCTTTAAATAACAGTGAAAATAACAGTATGTATATGTGCAAGTATGCGTGTACATGTTTGTGTATATTTGTCTTTAAGTGTGCGGTAAGTATGCGTGTACAAGTACATTATGTATATGAGAGCGTGTGCGTGTATGTGTGTTTATCGTTATGTTCGTACGTGTGGTGTGTATGCCTGCGCAAACAATAAAAACACATTCGATTTTTTTTTTACATTTTATGTACAGGCCGAATCCCCATAAGTAGAGTACTGGGTCACAAAGCTTAGTATGACAAACAAAACATCTGCCACAAATCTATTGAAGAAGGAAGTACTGTAATCCTTGCTACGTTCATCCGTTAGTGAGTCAAACTATAAATACGTTTAAAAAATAGTAAGGGAAAAAAGAATTTCATTTAACTGTTCGGAGAGTCTTTAGGTTAGCAAAATTGGGGTGTGGGGTAGTGTCTTCACATTTGTGAGTTGGGATGTGGGGTGGTGTCTTCGCATTTGTGAGTTGGTGTGTGGGGTGGTGTCTTCACATTTGTGAGTTGGTGTGTGGGGTGGTGTCTTCACATTTGTGAGTTGGTGTGTGGGGTGGTGTCTTCACATTTGTGAGTTGGTGTGTGGGGTGGTGTCTTCACATTTGTGAGTTGGTGTGTGGGGTGGTGTCTTCACATTTGTGAGTTGGTGTGTGGGGTGGTGTCTTCACATTTGTGAGTTGGTGTGGGGTGGTGTCTTCACATTTGTGAGTTGGTAGGTGGGGTGGTGTCTTCACATTTGTGAGTTGTGGTGTGGGGGTGTCTTCACATTTGTGATGGTGTGGGGTGGGTCCTCACATTTGTGAGTTGGGGTGTGGGGGTGTTGTCTTCACATTTGTGATGGTGTGGGGTGGTGTCTTCACATTTGTGATGGTGTGGGGTGGTGTCCTTACATTTGTGAGTTGGGGTGTGGGGTGGTGTCTTCACATTTGTGATGGTGTGGGGTGGTGTCTTCACATTTGTGATGGTGTGGGGTGGTGTCTTCACATTTGTGATGGTGTGGGGTGGTGTCCTCACATTTGTGATGGTGTGGGGTGGTGTCTTCACATTTGTGAGTTGGTGGGTGGGGGGTGTCTTCACATTTGTGAGTTGGTGTGTGGGGTGGTGTCTTCACATTTGTGAGTTGGTGGGTGGGGTGGTGTCTTCACATTTGTGATGGTGTGGTGTGGGGGTGTCTTCACATTTGTGAGCTGGGGTGAGGAGGGAAGCGTCGCAGTAGTAAGTTCAAGGGTAGGGATATGAGACAAGTTGCTGCAGATTTTGATGCTTGATTTTCTATCGTTTTCACATGTATCCACTGGATAAATTTAATCTCTTAGTTCTTTATTAAACCAACCTGTGGATAAGCATCCATCAAGCGAATAATGTGGATAGTCTTGTGCTCAGCAATTCTAATAAAAACAAGTAATTAAAAAAAGTCTAGTGACAATTTTAGCGCAATTTCCTTATGTTATCTAAAAATAGCTCTGTCGTAGCGTAAATAAGAGCAGGGTTAGTAAAACCATTGGTTAGTTATTAAAACGTTTTTTATTAAAAAAAATTTCAGTATTTTACATGTTTTATTTACAATAGAGTAACATGACTAAAAACCATTGCGCGCCTAGCTACCGAACGTGATGTCGCAGCCATTGAACGTGATGGCGCAGCTATTGAACGTGATGACGCGTGTGGTGTGGTTGGAAAAACATGCCTACTAATTCGGTCCAAATTTTAATTAATTCAAAAAAAATTTTTGTGACCGAACGAAAGGATATTTTTGAAAACTTTCTTCGGCAAAATTGTTCTAAATTATGGCAGGAATCGATTGGTACATGTTTCAAGTCGCTAAGTGGTCTGGTTGCCGAGATATGGGTCAAAAACTGCATTTTTTTCGAGGTTTTTTGGCTTTTTCGGGAAATCCATGAAAGAAACCCGGAATTTTTATGGCCTATGTTCATCCTCGTAACTTGCTTAACATAATTGCTTTTGTAACTAGTCATCGATATTGCTTCGTTGAGGAGGAGATACGACTTAAAGCCCGGACACACATTCATACATCCATACATTCATCCATCCATACATTCCCAGAAATGACGAGTTAATAAACGCAATTCTCCAGAATGGAAATTGCGCTAAAAAGTTGAACACCCGCTTTTTTACAAGCTTTTACTAAATTCTACAAGCTTTTACTAAATTCAAAATGACTTTTTGTGGAAAAGTGGATAATTTAAAGCTCAATTTAGATCACTCATGAGATATCTTACCCATGTTAGCGACCAAAAATGTGATTAAAGAAAGCAAATTAGCTTTATTCTCTAGTTTTCTGTGCATTTAAAAACTTGTTATTATAAAGGTTTGTAATTTGTTTTAAATAATCGCTAAAATCAAATGAAACAAAGCGTTGGTTATAGATCTATCAGTTGAGAGAAAAAAAAATTTCACAGCCCCGGTCATCGATTAGTCGAATCGATCTCTTTCATTGATCAGCCAGCACGTGATTGTCGAGAACTCAAGTCACGTGTGTCCCGTCAGTTTCAGATGACTGAGTTAGAATCTGGTCAACTCACTGCGACATCTGGTGTAGAACTTCGTATGAAAATCTTTTGTATAATAAAATTACAGTGGGATATCATCGTCGGTGGTGTAACGGTTAGCATAGTTGCCTTCCAAGCAATTAGACCGGGTTCGACTCCCGGCTGACGCATCAGATATTATTTTTATATTTTTACTTAATTCCTTTTTTTCCTGTTTAATAATCACGCATTCCTTATACTGAAGATGTACACACTCGAGTTGTTTCTTATCGGATAGAAGAATATCAAATAGTTGTTTTAAATTAATTCATTTCAATTTGCGACGGCTGAAAAGTCTCACAATTTTTCACCTCATCAATTTACAAAGCAAACTTGATCATAGTTCGGATCAGGTCAAGTATCAAAGGTAAATCTAGTCTTGAATAAAGATCTAGAATCAAGAATAGATCTAGTGTTAAATATAAGCAAAATTAACAAGTACAGAAAAAATAACGAATACCTATGAAATATTGAATATATATCAGGTAGCAACTCTAGAACTGTTAGAGAATGTCTATTTAGTATTGAATATAGATCAAGTATCAAATAGGGATCTATTTGAGGATGCGTATCATGTAGTGAATAAAGATATAGTATATATCTAGTGTATATCTAGTATGTATGCATATATATATATATTATATATATATATATATATATATATATATATATATATATATATATATATATATATATATATATATATATATACGACAACAGATGATTATAGTGATGCCCCCGTAATTAGATACATAATAAACATAAAAAAAATGATCCTGTTGTGACAATAAATTTATTTTAAAACAACCAAAAAATTGTCTTCAAGTTCTCTTTAGAGACAATCAACATCACCCCTCGCACTTCAATTGTATATCCTTAAATAATTTACATTAAAACATAATGTACAATATTTCTAACAATATATATACACAAATAAAATTACAGTTGAATAAAATGTGTTAAATTAAATTAAGTATTTACAACAATACAACGTAGGACTACGAGGATGCGATATAAATCGGATGTGATATTTTTAATTATTAATTGAATTCACAACAATCGTAATCTTTTCATTAAGAGTGGTTTAGAGCAGGCATTGTTACTGAAATAGTAAATGCTATTTCAATGCAAAGGTACACAGGTACAAAATCAATTCAGTTGCTTAATTGAACACGTTCAGTGCATGTGTTTATATTTACCATTAAACACAAATTTCAAGGCAACGAAATAGAAACATTCTATCAAACAGTAATGGAGATGTTTATAAATTGACCGTACCTATATTCAAGCGTAAAATTTAATTGCAGGTGTTTGAGACCGAATGTAATGGTTGAGAGAAGAGAGTTTGTTGTACAATTATTGTTAGAGATGCATGTCTTTGTTTGGTACGATAATTTATTTTTAATAAAAAACATTGGATTAAGTTACTTGTCTTATTAGTACAAGTCGTTTGACTAGTTAAAAAGATTATTTTGTTTAGCTTATAATTAACATCGTGTTTGGCTGTGCGATTGTTGAAAGCACTTTTTATTAGTTGTACGAGAATGTATTTAACATCACAAATAATTGGATGGAGATCAAATAAAAAATAAACTGTTTGTGGGTATTCTTGTCTTTTAGCTAACAGATGGTTTATTTTTATGGGATTAGGGCAGCAAGTAAGTAAACATGTGGGTCAGTGTAAGTAGCCAAAGGGGTCAGGGGAGTAGCCAGTAGTCATAGGGGTCTGAGCAGTAGCATCTAGCCCAATGGGTCTGCATCTGACAGGCAGCAATGAAAGTTCTAGAACAACTAAGTAAACAAAATAAGTGATCACTTGGATTTTCATGACTAGAGACAGAGTATATAAACAAAAACATTGCGGTAAAAACAGCAAGTCGACTGTTATAAAAATAGTTTCGTTATACAACTATATTTTTTGCTTAGATATTCAGACCAAAAGTCATCGTTTGCATTTAAGTTATTAATAATATGTGACAGCAACGATCTAACAATTTCCTACCCCAAATATGAGCGTATATATATTTATATATATATATATATATATATATATATATATATATATATATATATATATATATATATATATATATATATATATATATATATATATATATATGTGTGTGTGTGTGTGTATATATATATATATACACATTTATATACACATATATATATGTATATATATAAATATATATATATATATATATATATATATATATATATATATATATATGTGTGTGTGTGTGTCTGTATGCATGCGTGTTCTCAATAGTCATTTAATATAAAACTCATCGACCTAAGGTCATTGTTACAATTAAATCTCGAAAATTATATTTTAAAAAACCGTCTTTGTTATAGCCCGCATGGGTACCAAGGCACAATACTATAAACTTTGAGTGATACATCCACCAAATAGTATATAACATTATATAACTTTCACGCTCATACATAATGCATTTATTTCTGCCTTAATTATAAATTATTCACAGCATTATCTCAGAATACGAAAAAATCAGTTTTTATACAAAATTCGGAATACTTTTCATATAATTATATACACTTAACTGAAACATAAAGTTACTTATCATTTCATTGAAACGATCAAATGTTATGCTCTGAAAAATTATTTTAACGCCAGTACATGTATTTTTATTAAAGGGAGAGAATCGTGACATTAAAACACTCAACAAAACATCAAGAGTAGTGGTCCTTCCACAGAAAACGGTCATCTCCCAGCAGTTCAGCCGTTTCCTTGTTACAATCAGCGTAGAACTCTCGCAAGACTTTCACTGTTTCCGGAAGTGCCACGCCCTTCTTCTCGGCCGTAACATGACGTTTTGTCTGGTTCAAGACGTCTGCCATCAATGTTTTTGAAAGTTGAGCTGTATAAGAAAACACGCATTTTAAAAATTAAGTCTAGTTTTTAAATCAATGCCACGTTCGTAACATAAGCACTCGCTTTCTAAAATGTAATTGATTTACTTCCTCTTTTCAATAGAATTAAAATTCTTAAAAACTTTTTTAATTAACTGTATGACAATCGATTGAAGTTTATCCGTATAACTTTAGAACCGTTTACGAACAAAAATTTACAACAAAACCAAAGAAAGAACCAAAATTTAAAAGAAAACGGCTTGATCTATGGTGTCAGTAGTACTTTAAAAGGAGTGGTCATCATGACCAGCAAGACAGGGTAGACAACTGTTAAAGCTTTTATGTAACAAAGAACAGGAATTTACATGAATTATATCGGTTCTCTTACTGACTCAAAATAGTTGACTTAGTTTTTATTTTAATATAAGTTTTTGTTTTCACAAGTGCAGTGACGGAGTACACAACCCCACCCACGGGCCAATACTGGTAACACCCATTGAGTATATATGTACTCACGTATCTCCAGAAAGTCGAACACACCCTTCAGAGTCCCCTCCATGTCGTTTTTGTATTCAGTTGTGCGCGTCACGTGAAATGCGCTTCTCGGGAAAACCCGAAACCATTCTTTGAGAAACACTGAGTAGCACCCAAGGTGGATTCTGGCCTAAGGGGGAAAATAAATCCTTTAAGATTAAATGTGACTTATTTAAGGTGAATAATGAGGTTGTTATGAGTATGTGTTTTATAAAAATTTATAACAGAATATAATTGGGAATTTTTAATTAATTATTTTTTTTTGCATAACTCTCTATTGGTTTTCAGGATTATGATTAAGATTATGCGCTGCCATTCGATTAGGATTTGGATTTGGTTGGGATTTATTATTAATATTGAAGTGAAATTTAAATTGGATTAGAATTGAAATTAGATATGCTGTAATTTTGCTTTTTAATAAACATTCCTCAATTACCTTTAACTATATTTAACTTACTATCTAAAACCCTTACATATATATTATATGTGGATAGTGCGTTATAAAATGATTTTAAACTCTCGTCTTAAGAGTCGTATATAAATGATATCAGGCATCATTTGTTGATTTTTTGCCCACTTACCCCCACCCCTACACCCTCTCACTATCGACACTCGTCATTACGTAACGATAGCACCACTACATCCCGCCCATGGTAATCATAATCCTAAGTTCACAGAGCCAAAGACAACAAGTTACTTAAAGATCATCTTCTACAACACAGATTTACACACACCAGTGTCTAAAAATAGAAAGGCGGAAATGACGTCAAGAAGAATAAAAAAAAATTACCGGTAGTTTTTGGTACATGTTGTAATCAAAATAGCAGAACCGGGTTGAGTGGTTCTTGAGACAGGCGTTCATCATGTCTATGGCTTGTAGACTGTGTTTGTGGAACTCTAGAGGGTCCTTGCCGTAGTCCAGGAATACGTAGTCGGAGTAGAGTCTGGCGGGAAATAAAACCAGTATTTAATATACAGAACATTGCTTTTCATACATAACTCAATTCAGTGGCGTAGCGAGGTCGGGTGTCACCCGGTGCGACACTTAATGGTGTCACCCCCCAGAGGCGTAGCGACCCTTCCAGGAGGACAAACTTTCAAATTTTCGATTTGCACCCCCTCTCCCTCAAACTTTCGATTTGCACTCCCCCCCCCCCCCCTCAAACTTTCGATTTGCATCCCCCTTCAAACTTTTGATTTGCACACCCCCCCCCTCAAGTTTTTCTCTATATATTTTGCTATTTTTGCCTTGGTGTCACCCCCCTAAATGGTGTCACCCGGTGCGGTCCGAAACCACCCCCCCCCCTCGCTACGCCTCTGACTCAATTACCCAAGTAGAATCTAATTACGTTGATTTTTTTTTTAAAGTTATATTTTAATAAAGAGTCATTGCGACACAGCTAGCAAATATTGTTTGGCTTGAAATAGCGAAAAAGTTAGTGAATATCGTTTTATAAATTAAGGTGGAAAAAATTAGATTTAAGAGTGTGTGTATAAAATTTAATATTTTTCAGAAATATGTGTGCAATGCAAATTTTTTTTTAATCTGTAAAAGCAAAAATCTCAGAGCATTAAGATGCTGCCCCTTCCCTCCTCCTATCCCCCCCCCCCCCACACGCTATTTCAGCGAATGGTACCAGTCCACATCTGACTACCTAGCCGAAAACCACCCCACATATCTCAAAGAATTCACTACATTTCACCATATTGAATGGAGATCACAAAAATAAAATATCCACGCCCTGGTGAACTTATTCCATCCGCAATAAATAGATGTAAGAAATATCAAATTTCGTAACAGAATATATATATATATATATATATATATATATATATATATATATATATATATATATATATATATATATATATATATTTATATTTATATTTATATTTATATATATATTTATATATATATTTATATATATATTTATATATATATATCTTTAATAAAAAGCTTTGGTCGCATATGAGATCTTGTACATATTTTAGCGACAAAAGCTTTTGTGAAAGAAAGCAAATTAGCCTTGTTTTCTTATTTTCAGTGCATCTAAAAGCTTGATTTTCTACCTTTTCGTGATTCCTAAACAAAGTCGACACGACTAAAACATTTGCTCTAAAACACCGTATAAATGATACATAAATATGAATATAAATTTTATTTTGCGTGAGCAGGGTCAATGAGAACAATAGCCATAGGGTCGAGAACTTATGACGTCATTTAAAGCTGACCCCCCACACCAAGGCTGTCTCAACTCCCGTCTGCCAATATTTGTGTACGATTACGCGATTATCACAGGGCACGAAAGCCTCTTCCCAGTTGTTTTTTTTTTTTTTATTACAACGCTAACACACAACCAGACGACATTCCACGCCGGCATGGGGGTTGACAGATATGGCCGCCATCTCTCCCCCCCCCCCACACACACACACAACACTGACTTGTTTTTACAACAACGGAGTCACTGTTGGGGTCAAAGGTCGAAATTTACGCCCAGCGTGGGTTAAAGAGGGCGCTGTTTGAAAGACGGATTATTTTGTGGACTAAGGTCACGTGGTTAAGTTTTCGTGTGTGAGGTTGTGTTTTTTTAAAGAACCGGTCTAAGTTCACTGTGATCTAAAGTTATAGGCTGACATTTGTTATAGTAGTGGAATTAACGATGACCGAGGGGGGGGGGGGCAACTGGAAAATGCGCAATGGAAGATTGCAAACACGGAAAAATACGCGAACAGCATATATATATATATATATATATATATATATATATATATATATATATATATATATATATATATATATATATATATATATATATATATATATATATATATATATATATATATATATATATATATATATATATATCAATAGAGAGTAAGGTGGTCTGGTTTTTTTATTAGGAAAATGTAGTGAAATGATCGATACTCATGGCAATGACCCTCCACCCCTCAACCCCATTTGCCCCCACCCCCAACCCATATCCCCCCACACACACACACACATCCCTATCAGTTTTAAGTACCACAGTAACATAACACTTCTTTATCACGTTGTATCGTCTTTCAGTCCTTTTTTTTTGTTTAATTTTAAAACAACACAACACGACACAGTCGGAGGCCCACATAACCTGGGCTTGCCATCAGCTGTGTCTTTGTTTCCTTAGTCCAGTCTTCTTGCTTCGTTTTTATGATCCGGGCACGAGGAGTTCGTAATTTGAGAACCTTAGTCCAATTTTTATTTTTAACTGACAAATATAAAAGCTGTGTAGTGGAGGTATAGGGGTTGTCGCGAAAAAAAAAATCGTATCCCTTTACTTAAAAAAAAAAGTTTAATTAACCACTGGCCAGCATGATTAAAACAGGTTGGTCGATGAAGGCCAATGAAATAAAAAGAACGTTGTCGTTAAAATAATTAGCCAATTTGGCATATCTGTCTCACAGTAAGGCGCCGGATCAATATTTGACCAGAATAAAAGACAGTAATGTTTTTCATTTAGATGTGTATTCTTTTGATGTTTCGCGTCTGAAAAGACAACAGAAAAATCTTTATCTGCTAAGACAGTGTAAGGAAGACTGTGTTTATACATGTTACTTCTAACATAATGGGCACCCTTATTTTTCTATACACGTAAATGGGTTTTTTTTCATTACAATAAGGCTTGAATACAACTATGCTTTAGAGGTACGGACAATAGTTGCATTTATAGCGAGTTAGAAATTAGCTATGGACTAACGGTATTCTTATTTCAAACTCGCCATTCATAAAATCCAAACGTAAAGCCTAACCCTGAAAATTTACCGAAGTGGTAACCTTAAACCTGACCATTAGTTCCACACATGCGGGTGTACAGTTAAACTATAAGCGCCTGTTACGCAGTATGTGTTCTTTACTTATAGGGGTTTACCAAAACCTTCAACCTAACCATTAGCTCTACACATGAGGGCGTACAGTTAAAATATTAGAACCTGTAACCCAGTAGGTGTTCTTTACTTATAGTGGTTTACCCAAAACCTTCAACCTAACCATTAGCTCTACACATGAGGGTGTACAGTTAAAATATAAGAGGTGTTCTTTACTTATAGTGGTTTACCCAGCTAAATATATAGAGAAAAACTTGAGAGGGGGGGGTGCAAATCGAAAACTTGAGGTGGGGGGGGGGGTGCACATCGAAAACTTGAAGGGTGGGGTGCAAATCGAAAATTCGAAAGTTTGTCCCGGGGAAGGGTCGCTACGCCTCTGGGGGGTGACACCATTAAGTTCCGAACCGGTGACACCCGACCTCGCTACGCCACTGATTAGCTCTACACATGAGGGCGTACAGTAAGTTATACTATAAGCGTTTGTTACCCAGTACGTGTTCTTTACTTATAGTGGTTTACCGAAACATAGTGTGCTCAGTAACATTTAAATACGCTTGTTGTCGTAACAAACAAAAGAAATAGAACCAACGTGTATTTTTTTAAAAATGCTTCAAAAGGCACCTACAATAAGAACATAAATCTCTTACACTTTTCAGCGACTAATGTTTTTGATGATTTTTTTTTAAAAAGAATGTTTGGTATATTTGTTTAAAATTGTAAAATTGTCAGTTTTCTTACATTCAGGATTTTAAAATGGCCGACGTTAACCGATACGGATGCTGCGTCGCCAATAGCTATAACCTAAGGTGAGAACCCTTTATTTGGGGGGGGGGGCATGGCAGAGTTTCTTTCAGGCTTCTTCAAGCCCCTGGAGAAATTGTAAGAAAGAAACCTTGGACCATGGGGTATATCTCCCCTCCACCCCAACTCACCGCATTAAACTGACTGATTCGAGAAAACCACTTAGACAATAGGGTGCATCCTGTCACGCCATGAGAACCCCTGATCAAACCTCAGAATTTTTTATCCTATTCACAGTACTTATGTCTTGGTAGGATGCTGTACCGACAAGATGGCGGAAAATATTCCCAAGATGGCGGGGCATATTCCTAAGATGGCGGAGCATATTACCAAGTCGGCGGCGCATATTCCTTTCTAAAAATAACCCGGACATTAACTTCAAGCATGGCGACCGTGTGTCTTCTTTAGGTCACGTGGGGGGGGAGGGATTAAGGTGCTGAGAGAGATTAACGGGGAGTGATCCAACACATTTTTCTTGCTTCTGTCATGGGAGGGTTGTATACATGTGCGACTGGGGGGGGGGGAGGGGGGGGGGGAAGCGGTTAGCTAGAGTAAATTTTATATGCAATAATTTGTGTAGCTAACCTAACAATGCAATAATCTGTGTAGCTAACCTAACAATGCAATAATTTGTGTATCTAACCTAACAATGCTATAATTTGTGTAGCTAACATTACAATGCTATAATTTGTGTAGCTAACATTACAATGCAATAATTTGTGTAGCTAACCTTAGTAATTTGTGTAGCTAACATTACAATGCAATTATTTGTGTAGCTAACCTAACAATGCAATAATTTGTGTATCTAACCTAACAATGCAATAATTTGTGTATCTAACCTAACAATGCTATAATTTGTGTAGCTAACCTTAGTAATTTGTGTAGCTAACATTACAATGCACTAATTTGTGTATCTAACCTAACAATGCAATAATTTGTGTAGATAACCTTACAATGCGATAATTTGTGTAGCTAACATTACAATGCTATAATTTGTGTAGCTAACATTACAATGCAATAATTTGTGTAGCTAACCTTAGTAATTTGTGTAGCTAACATTACAATGCAATTATTTGTGTAGCTAACCTAACAATGCAATAATTTGTGTATCTAACCTAACAATGCAATAATTTGTGTATCTAACCTAACAATGCTATAATTTGTGTAGCTAACCTTAGTAATTTGTGTAGCTAACATTACAATGCACTAATTTGTGTATCTAACCTAACAATGCAATAATTTGTGTAGATAACCTTACAATGCGATAATTTGTGTAGCTAACCTTACAATGCAATAATTTGTGTAGCTTACCCTAATAATTTGTGTAGCTAACATTACAATGCACTAATTTGTGTATCTAACCTAACAATGCAATAATTTGTGTATCTAACCTAACAATGCAATAATTTGTGTACCTAACCTTACAATGCAATAATTTGTGTAGCTAACCTAACAATGCAATAATTTGTGTAGCTAACCTAACAATGCACTAATGTGTGTAGATAACCTTACAATGAAATAATTTGTGTAGCTAACATTACAATGCAATAATTTGTGTATCTAACCTTACAATGCAATAATTTGTGTAGCTAACCTTACAATGCAATAATTAGTGTAGCTAACCTTACTGTGAAATCCACACTGGACCATTGTATGTTCTGCGTGCTATGACAGTTGTGGGGTGTCGTATTGTCATGTAATTTGATATCAACTTTATTTGTAGCCGTCTCCGCTAGATTCCAACATGACTGACATTACTAACGTATGGGCTCAATTTAAAAAAAAAACATTTGCTTTGAAAACATTCCGGCTATGGAGAGATTTGGTGCTAGATTAAGGTTTAGGCTTGGTAGGAGAATAGGCGTAAACCAAAATCTTAGTTAAAACTTGAATACAAACACCGATAATACATGTAGATGTTAACAAGATACGGGGTTGGGGGGGGGGGGGGGGGGGCACTAAATTAATTAATCCGTTTCTCGTGTAATTTCGTATGTCAATATCTAGGTATAGCCGGTTATGTGGTTTACAAAATTGGAGGGTCTTTTTTTCTATTGCAAAATTTGATTCAATTCACCAAAATTTTTGCATGAAAACTGGTATTTGAACCTGTATATTTAGAGGTTAAAACTACGCGCTCTACTACTAGACCACACTTTTTAGCCTTTCCCCAATCGATGAATACATAAAGTTTATGTTTATGGCTTGAAATGACAGGAAGCTGTCAATAATTAAATTTGATCGCTCTTTTCCTCTGCGCGATAAAACAATCATGTTTAGAGATTGCCTCAAAGCTAATAGTGTGGTAAGTAAATATTGTGCATTGCAGGTTAGTTAACATTATGAATTAACAGTAGTGTCATTAGGCGTTGTCCATGGAGGGAGGAGGGGGGGGGGGGTGGTGTAGAACTCACATGCTGACACCGGTGAACAGAAAAATGCGCAACGGAAAATAGGCAAACAGAAAAAAAAGCGAAAAAAACCTGCGCATATAGATAAAATGCAGAAACAGAAAAATCCGCGCACAGAAAAAATGCGCACACAGAAAACTCCGCACACACAAAAATCCGCAACTAGAAAATTTGCGCCTACAAAGGGTTGACACCAAAACGAAATGTAGCTCATTTCAATGTGAAGTTAGATTCAGGCTGATACTATGCTAGGGTAGTGGATGACGCCAAATTGACTATAGCTTTAGTACATCATACACAGACTAGTAGACGGTGGGGACCAGCACCATGGAAAATTCGCACCGGATGTCACGTGACCCAGTAACCTCACTGACGCAAAACAGAACTGTTGCATTTTTAATTATATATTAGAGAAAGTTTCTCACCTATCAATAGGCTCCCTGAACTGTATAATTAATTTGGGCGCCCCTTTGTAAATGTACTTTAAAAAGTGGGGCGTCAGGACCCATGGCTCGTTGAGATCGCTGTTTTGGGGGATCATGGGCCAGCCCCGGAAGTCCCAGAGGTCCATTGGAGTGGCGTCACCTGAGGAAAATTATGATTTGATGCGAGGTTGGAAATCACATAAGGCTTGGTGGGAGTTCAAAAGAAAAATAAGTTGAATAACATGAAATGTAAAATTTAAAAAAAAAACTTTAAATGTATAAACAAAATAGCACCGTATGAATTCCAAATACAAATAATGATCTTTTTCTCGCCTCTTCAACTGTACACTATTTTGCTTTTATTTTTTAAACACGTTTTTTCCTTACTTAAACCTAGTGTAACTACATTTTTGTCCTCATTCTTCTGTATAGAAATTAAATTTTTCTCGTCACTTTCTCAACACTACCTTCACTTTTCTCAACACTAACTTCCCTTTTCGCAACACTAACTTCACTTTTCTCAACACTAACTTCATTTTTATCAACACTAACTTCACTTTTCTCAACACTAACTTCACTTTTCTCAACACTAACTTCACTTTTCTCAACACTACATTCACTTTTCTCAACACTAACTTCACTTTTCTCAACACTAACTTCATTTTTATCAACACTAACTTCACTTTTCTCAACACTAACTTCACTTTTCTCAACACTACCTTCACTTTTCTCAACACTACATTCACTTTTCTCAACACTAACTTCACTTTTTTCAATACTAACTTCACTTTTCTCAACACTAACCTCACTTTTCTCAATACTAACTTCACTTTTCTCAATACTAACTTCACTTTTCTCAATACTAACTTCACTTTTCGCAACAATAATTTTACTTTTCTCAACACTATCTTCACTTTTATCAAGATTAACTTCACTTTTATCAACATTATCTTCACTATATCAACACTACCTTCACTTTTTATACACTACTTTCAGTTTTCCTACATTATTTTCACTTTTCGCAAACACTACCCTGATTTTCACCTATAGTACCTTCACTTTTACCTTACATTTTCCTACACTATTTTGTGTCTATTCACCTGTAATGATTTCAGTGTCGTTATGTGCATCGATTACTTGCGCAGTTTGCGAGAATAGATCCATGTAATTATCTAGTGTAGTTTTCATTAATCCCCTGCGTTTATTCATAAAACCTAACAGAAAAAAAAGTATTATAGTAAATATATAATAGTATGCTATAAAATTAAACACAAAACTAATAATTGTTAAGTGCCATTTTGATTTTATATTCAATATTGATTTTGTTTCCAAAATTGATTTTGCTTTCAATATTGATGTTTTTCGTCGCATTGGGGATAAAATATAACCCTGCTTGAGATTGACTTTAATGAGTTAAAGGCTTTTGACAATACTTTGTTTATCGATACTTCTGAGCCAACCCAGCCTTAATGGGTACCCAGCATGCATTGCGGGAAAATAAATCTTTATAGTTTAATGTAACAGAAAAGGTTTCATAAATGTAAAAATAAACAATTACTACAAATTTCAGTATACCCAATTTATCTTAAAAGATTATTCCATGCTAAACAATCCCTTGGGGGTTAAACAACAGTCCAACTACAGAGCTAAAAGGGTTAAGCAGTGTACCATATCTCGACCACGACCAGAACTGAGTCTCTTTGTCCATTTCCCCGGCGTTGCCGTATATGAGCGGATGTTTGGCTATCCTTCCATGGAGGTCCGTAGAACCACTTTTGTCCATTCCGATGATATAAAAGTATGGTAGGCAGCGTAACTTCCTTTTACCCATGAGAAAGTACTCGTAAAAACATGGATTCTTGAATTGTGGAAGAAACTTCGGCAAATTCTAGTGGGGAATACAAAGAAAAACTATTTTAATTATTTAAAACCTCTGTTAAATATTTTTATTTGGTGTGATATATTACTCTGTTTACTGCTTTATGAAATTAAACGTTTTTTGTTTACAATGTTTTTTTTTAAATATTTTAAACGAATTAAGTAACCTAGCAATGTGCTTTTGTACAGCAAGGGTCCCATGACGTGTTTAGTGAAAAACATGTTTACGTCAATATGTGTGGGTTTTTTTTTTTTTAATAATTCGGGTTCGGCGAGGTCGGATCGGTAAAGCGCCTGGTTGATAAACCGAAAAGTCATGAGTTCGAACCCCTAGGCAGCTGGGAGATAAAACTCCAAAATCAAGCAACTGATGCTAACACGGCATCAATGGGCGTATGGCCAAATAGTAAATGTCATAGGCCATGGCGTATTTCCTAGATGTACCAAGACGAGCCGCCTAGATGGAGGCATCCATAGTGAACCACCAAAACGGCGGTACGCGCATGGAGAAGGGTGGATTTACTGTTTATAAGTTATCATCAAGAGCTACTGTACAGCAGTTTCTGTGCTTTCTTTGTTAATAAAGAGTGTGTTTCCTAAGTCAAGTTTAGCGCATTTTTCGCAATATCGCTGGATTTTTTCATTGTAAAATACATTGGTCAACATTGATTGTTTCACTTTGTCAATATGTAATCAATAATTCATAATTTGTGACAGTTTACAGACGACAATGAAAAGATCAAGCCGAATTTGTTATTACCTCCCCTTATTTTCAAATCATTCAAAAACTAAATTATCTGCCCCCAATAGCGGTCACTAATTCGACCCGGCTCTACGATTGTAAACATTCGGCGTGAACCACAGCTCACCAGACGGGTGGGGGTGGGGGGGGGATAGCGATATGGTCTGTTGCGCATGCCTGGAAAACAAGGGAGGGGGCGGTTGGAGGGTTAGATAGTCGGCTTGGATTGTCTTGCCCATGAAGAGAAAAATATATATTTATAGATAGACGAGCCGACCCGCGGCGTATCATACGCCGATATTTAGTTCTTTTATTTTCTACTTTTCAGTCATTCATAATGTGTGAATTCGACAGTATCTATATATATAATTCTCTTCTGGGAGACGTTAGAAAACAAGCTGCAAGCACCGCCTTACAGTCCCATCTCTTTCTCTCTATCACTACCACCCCCACATGGTCTGGTGAGTTGTGGTCACGCTAAATTAAATGTTTACAAATCGTAGAGCCGGGTTTAGTGACGGCTATTAGGGGCAGATATTTTAGTTTGAAACGATTTTAAACTTACAGGAGGTAACTAAGAGGAGGCTGCTTTCACGGGGGGGAGGGTGTAGGGTCGGGGTTAGGGGAAAGGGGGGGGGGGGGGGTTAGTGTTTTAAAGCAAATATTTTCAGTGGCAGCATTAGTACTGTCGAATTCACAAATTATGAATTACTGAAAAGTAGAAAATAAAACAACTAAATAGCGGCGTATTATACGCCGCGGGTCGGCTCGTTTGCTTTATAACACTATGTTGGGTTGGGGGAGGTTGCGATATGCCTAGAGAGGAAGAGAGGGGACTGCTAGGCGCGCTTACAGCTTGTTTTCTAACGTCTCCAAGAAGAGAATTATATATATAGATAGAAGCGACGACTGCGACCCAGACATAAGATTTACATCATGGGGGCGAGAGTGCGATTATGTATATTTGACAACGGATGAATTTTAAACATCTTTACTATAGCTCGAGGGTAAAACTCATTTTTTTACCGGCGTTCAAAAATGTAGAATAATCCAATTAGGATTATCGCTATTTGTAAAAAAAAGGAAAATTAAGATTATTATTATAGATTAGCTAAATTGAAACCAGATCATTTTTTAAACATTACATCACATCGAGGGAGTGGGGGGGGGGGGCTAACTCTTTAAGTCCATCCCGACTTGCCCTATGTCTTTACAAATAAAACCGTAAAGAAAACATTAACAACTTTTTTAATTTAATATAAAAATTATCTATATGTAAAAGATGTGTTTTTACAAGCTTTTATTTAACTCACTTCCTCTGTCGTCAGTCTGTCGTCATTCTGTCTATCTAGATCGAAACGCCCGAGCTAAATTGCAAGCACTTCTAACTGACAGATACGGTTCGTAGTTGTTACGTGGGTCAAGACATGAAGACAATGCAACATGACATTAAATTTGACTTAATTGGTTGCCTGATTAATTTTTTATGAATTAATTATAATTGTGTCCAAATTAGTAGGCTCTCTCATCAAACTATTCCGCGCTATTATACACGCGTCATCACGTTCATTAGGTGCACAATGGTTTTTAGTCATGCAACTCTATTGTAAATTTAAAACATTTGAAGTACTAAAAAAATTCATTAAAAACGTTTTAATAACAAGCTTTATGTAATAATGCATTAAAAAGTAGAAAATAAATTATACACTACTATTTTAAAAACTATAGAGAAAAGCGTGGGTATCTTCCTAAATATTAATATAGGTATCCAATAGATACTAAAGTATCTTCATAAATATTAGTAAAGGTATCCAATAGATTATATAGTCACCCACGCTTTACTTTATAGTTATTCAAATAGTAGTGTATAATTTGTTTTTAAAACGTTTTTTAATGAATTTTTTACACTTTAAATTCTCCAATAAAAACGGTGTTTGTTAGATCCGTGTATGTTTATAGTTTCCCACGTGTAATACTCACTAAACAAAATATGTCTTCCACTCTGTTGTATTTTGGTGCCAGTCGATCTATGCAAGAGGGTTCTGTGGAAAATATTGGGTTGCATGTAAAAAGGGTACAGTGTAGATAAACATCTATAGAAAAATACGTTGCTAGTCAACTAGATGGTATAGTTTAGAACAATGGGTTAAGCGTTTATACAGTCATAAATAATACATAGGATATTTTAAAAGTGCGATTTTTTTTTAAACACAGCTCAATTTAAAATATTTTAGTCTGTAAATACATGACGTTATTATTATTAGCGATTTTTTTTTTTTGCAAGGGGTTAATTTTCTTCCCGTTCTAGACTCATTCATAACATTAGAACGAGGTAAACATAAACTTTTACTAGTGTTACTAGTGTCCGCCCCCCGGAAAATGTAGACCGCACCCCCCCCCCCCCCTCCCGGAGAAAAAAAAGTCTGGAAGAAACACTGCATACATATTACGTCGGTTACATAGAGTATTTTCTTATAGAATACGTAGTTGCACAAAATGTATGAGATATTAAAGCACACATGTATTGTTTACTCCGTATCAAGAGAATCTAGGCATATAATACATAGAATCGGGCAGAGACTAGATCGATGCCACCAAGGTACCTGCCGTGTCGTAGACCGTGGCACTCTGGATGGACATGCGAGAGACGTTGGACCAGGACAGCTGTGTGCAGACCAGGACCAGGACAGCACCTGACAGCAGTAGGACCCATGTCCTCATCGTCCTAAGAAGAAAAAACCGAATAGTGGTTTTTATAGCGAAATATGACTCTTGATAAGTTGATGAAATTGTAGTGACGAAATGTAACAATTATGAAGAATGTTATCTTGTATAACAACATGACTATTATACAAGAAGATTACGCCAGTAGTAATTTAGGCACATGAACTAGAGTTCATCTATTTCTGTGATCTCGGGAAAGGAAGGGATAGTGTGTTCACCACTATGGCCACCTGATTTCAATTGGAGTTGTGTGAACAAAGGAACGACGGACTTGCGCTCGGGATCCGAACCTTACAACTAACCTAGTCTACCTGACAACTTACCTAGTCTACATAACTTACCTAGTCTACCTGGCAACATTCTAAATCTACCTGACAACTTACCCAGTATACTTAACAACTTACCTAGTCTACCTGACAACTTACCTAGTCTACCTGACAACTTACCTAGTCTACCTGACAACTTACCTAGTCTACCTGACAACTTACCTAGTCTACCTGACAACTTACCTAGTCTATCTGACAACTTACCTAGTCTACCTGACAACTTACCTAGTCTACCTGACATCTTACCTAGTCTACCTGACATCTTACCTAGTCTAGACAACTTACATAGTCTACCTGACAACTTACCTAGTCTACCTGACAACTTACCTAGTCTACCTGACAACTTACCTAGCCTACCTGACAACTTACCTAGTCTATCTGACAACTTACCTAGTCTAGACAACTTACCTAGTCTACCTGACAACTTACCTAGTCTAGACAACTTACCTAGTCTAGACAACTTACCTAGTCTAGACAACTTACCTAGTCTGCCTGTCAACTTACCTAGTCTACCTAACAACTTACCTAGTCTACCTGACAACTTACCTAGTCTAGACAACTTACCTAGTCTAGACAACTTACCTAGTCTACCTGACAACTTACCTAGTCTACCTGTCATCTTACCAAGTCTACCTGACAACTTACCTAGTCTACCTGACAACTTACCTAGTCTAGACAACTTACCTAGTCTAGACAACTTACCTAGTCTACCTGACAACTTACCTAGCCTAGACAACTTACCTAGTCTAGACAACTTACCTAGTCTAGACAACTTACCTAGTCTAGACAACTTACCTAGTCTACCTGACAACTTACCTAGTCTAGACAACTTACCTAGTCTAGACAACTTACCTAGTCTAGACAACTTACCTAGTCTAGACAACTTACCTAGTCTACCTGACAACTTACCTAGTCTACCTGACAACTTACCTAGTCTACCTGACAACTTACCTAGTCTACCTGACAACTTACCTAGTCTACCTGACAACTTACCTAGTCTAGACAACTTACCAAGTCTACCTGACAATTTACCTAGTCTACCTGACAACTTACCTAGTCTACCTAACAACTTACCTCGTTCCTACGCTGGAAGTCAACAGTTTCACAAAACCACACCGTGACGTCACTTCCGTCCATAACATTGTGTCAATGACTTAAATCTCACAGCGTAAAGGCAGGTCTAACGTAGTTGTCATTTCATCAAGGAGCTGTGAATACCAACATTTACATCAACAGTTAAAGCTGCAATCAAAACAAATACACTCGATGATTCCTGTATAAGCCCAACCCTAGATTAAATCCTTCAACAAAACAAAATTAAAAGTGAACAAAAAATACTCGTTCGAAACATAAACTTAATCCTCGTCTGAAAACAAAACATAATCGTGTCAAGATTGATAAATCTAGTTGCTAAATCCTATTATTTGCTACCATTGTAGCGACGGGGTGGTGAATATGTCCCCGGGCGCCGACCCTAGGGGCGCCAAAATGGGTTTAAAAAAATTAAAACCTCATTTTAGCTGCAGTTTTGAATTAGAAAATATATGGGGGGGGGCGCCAAATTGAAAGTTCGTCCCCATGCGCAGGGAGGTGTCGCTACGCCTCTGATTATATGCGTTTCTTTCTTCTCAGCTTACTGCTAGCTATCCATGTGCATATTGTTTCTCCTCAGATATTTATAAACCAAACAATATCGAATTCTTCTTATTAGAGGGTGTGTTGTTAATTTTTAAAATTATTTTTATTCAACGAGACGCAAAAGAAAATAATTTCTTATATTTTTTACAAGTTCGTTACAGGCACCTTTAATGGCTACTAAACTAGAGTCGATGGAAGTTAAGGCGACTGATGTTTATGCAGAGCATAATGTCTTGTTATATGCCGAGGTCAGAAAAAAAATTAAAAAACTTTTTTTTCAACAAAGCAAGTTTACCTTAACCACAAACTATCTAGTCTGAAAAAAATCACATTATTTATTAGATTTCACCTTAAATATTGCGCTTTTATTTACCAATTTACACAAGGTTTTCTCTAAAACGTAGTCCTACGTCTCACGATAAAAATCAAACCGAATGTAATACTACGTAACCTTACATAATATGTAATACTACGTAACGTTACATAATATAAAATTATATGTCAAAACAAACTATTATAATAGAAGCGGTGTTATTTTATTTAACAGAATGAAAGCAACACTTCAGAAATTCACTTGTGTACATGTAATAATGTACAGCTTTGTGTCATTTTAACTGAAAGCTTACTTCAATGTAAATTTGGTAGATGCATATATTTTACAGGAGTGTGTATGCTCTGATGGGATTAGTGGGGATTAGTTGTGTGTAGCGGGTGGTTTTTTAGCCTGTAATTTAAATATAATCCTCGCATTCATTAATCGACTTAGGAGTGGTAGCTGTGAGGTAAGGAAAGGCTAATTAATGAATTAAGACATCCATACAAACATACCCACACAATTTTTTTCACACGTACCCCACACCTCGACAAAAGAGCGCAAACAAAAGGGCGCCGACATAAGAGCGCCGACAAAAGAGCGCCGACATAAGAGCGCCGACATAAGAGCGCAGACAAAAGAGCGCCGACATAAGGGCGCAAACTAAAAATCGAAATACCATATTTAATAAATAGGAACAAGAAAATTAACTCAGATCAGAAGGCATGTGTGTGTGTGTAATGTGTATATAACTATATATAAATATATACAATATGTTGTATCTGAAATTTGGAGATATATGATATTCCAAACATTAAATCAAAAGATTCACCTTTGAAATTTTACTTACCAACCAGTGCCTCACACATATCACTATTATCACTACAAATGTACAATGTTAAGGAAAATTAAAAAAAACGAAGAAATGTTCAGTAGTTCTAGCAGTAAGCGACTGATGCGCTGCGTGTGTTGTAGTTCTAGCAGTAAGCGACTAATGCGCTGTGTGTGTTGTACAGTAGTTCTAGCAGTAAGCGACCGGTGCGCTGTTTGTGTTGTACAGTAGTTCTAGCAGTAAGCGACTAATGCGCTGTGTGTGTTGTACAGTAGTTCTAGCAGTAAGCGACTGATGCGCTGTGTGTTTGTGGGCTGTAGTGCTCACACTGATACCCAAATGACTTGCACGTGCTGTGCCTAGATGCCCGCACGTGCTTTTAAAGACGTGGGGTGGGAGAGTGCGGCGTAACCTTTAGGGCTTTCACCAATAACAAAATGACCTTTTTGATTTAAGCTGTTTTTATCTTGGTGTCTCGATTGGATATTTTTATTACACTACTTTATAAATATTTTAACCAGACGCGTAACGAGGTTTAAGCGTAGGGGGTTAGATTAAGCCATGTAATACTCGTATTTCTTCCAGGATTAATCCCGGGAGGTGGGGTGGGCATTGACATCCTGAGCAGGTCCACCACCCCATCCCCTCCTCTCCGTTGTAAATTGAAAAACAATATTATATTAGATTATAATTCAAACATTCGTATAATTGCCCTCCCTCAGGAAGTTTTAAAGCCATCCCCCACCCACCCCCGAGAAAAATATCTGAAAGAAACCCTGATCGCCCCCTCTTCCACTCACTTCCTTGACCCACCCCTACCACCTATTAGAATAATGAACCAAAAAATAAATCAGATTATTTTTAATAATGCACCGTGTTTAAGCTAAACTATCTAATTCTAAACTATCAAGTACTAAATCAAATACTGTCCCATACATCTCTGACAGATTTTTTAATGCATTTTTTATTGCAATGTATAGAGCAGAGGAGCACATCCACAGCCTAACCCAGCACCCCCACCCCCTCCTCCCAAGACGAAATAGACAAAAATCTATTTTATATTAAAAATATATACTTTAACTAGCGTCCGTTCCCCTCCCGGAAGTTTCAATTGCCCCTCCCCAAGAAAATTCAAGTGCCCCCCCCCCACCACCACCACCACCACCACCACCACCACCACCACCACCACCACCATCACAAAACATTGTCCTGAAGGACCCCAGGTACCGAAAATTTTAAACCAAAAATAAAACATCTCAATAGACAACTGAGCACTATAAATAACTCCTCCCACGCCGTCAACTCTCGCATCAGTCTCAACTAACTTCCGGCGTCTGGCGCCGTGACGTCACTGCTGTCATCCTAGGTCACGGGTTCCCAACCTGGGGGTCGCGACCCCCTTGGGGGTCGCGAAGGTCATTCTGGGGGGTCGCCAACTGGTAAACTAAACCTTAGTAATTTGAAACAAAACATAAATATTTAGAAGAATTTTTTAAATTCGGCTTCATTAACATCACTGGAAATGTAATAGAGAAGAAACAAAGCGCACTGTACAAAGTTGTTCTCAGTCACGAATCTATGAAATCTTCAAAACTAAAACGCCATTTGAGACGAGTCATTCGGAACACACCAAAAAATATATGGAGTTCTTTCGTCGGTAAGAAGCTAGTTGCAAACGCCAGAGACTTATCGAACAGGAAGTTTTCACCAGCATTAGTGCAAGCATCAAATAAAGTCGCGATAGAAAATGCCAAGCAAAAAAAAAAAAACAATAGGAGAAAATCTCATCAAGCGCTGCATGTACGTAAATGTTAAATAACACACTTTTATCAAATTAAGCTTTCACCATTGTTTGCTTTTCAAGTTGATAAATCAACAGACGTGAGTTCGTGTTCGCAGTTGCTGGTCTGTGTCTATATTAATGCGGATGATAGCAAAGAAGAGTTGCTCTTTTGTGAAGATAGCATGGAGAAAATAAATTCCTTTTTTGAAACTGGATGATTAAAATGGGTTAGAACGGCTGTGGGGGTTTGTACGGATGGTGCGCCATCTATGTTTAGCTCAAAATCGGGTTTTCAGAAAACAGAAAAGATTTAGCTCCCTAACCACTGCCCTAACCAATCGACTTCAAGAGTCCATTGCTAGTATAAGTCGTAAATTATATAAAATCTGGAGCCTTCAAAGAACTGAGCAAAAACATTACTATAGATCACGAGGTTCTGCTCTTCTACACTACAGTACGCTGGCTTTCAAACGAAATGTTGTAAATTGTGTTTTTGAATTGAAATCTGAAATCAAATTGTTCTTGGGAGTGCAAAGGAAACAAGACTTTTTGGTATACTTAAAACTTAAAACGACATAGAGTGGTTGGAGAGAGTATCATACCTAGCAGATGTATTTGAACATCAAGATAAGCTTAACCTGAAGCTTCAGGGAAAATGAACGAATATTATAACTTTCCATGATAATCATTTTTATCAAAGCTGCAAAATCGGTAAAGAAAATAAATCTTGGAAATATTGTAAATTTGATAAACTCTGCGGTGTGGTAGATGAATCAGATTGTGAGATAATTAAAATTTTGAAAGAAGCTATTTCTGGGCATCTTGAATCTCTTGAAAACGAACTGCATCGCTATTTCTCTGAGCTGAAAAAAGAAGAATCTGCATTTACGCATTACCCATTCTCTTCTTCCCTTGATGTTGCCAGCATTCCCGATGAATTACAAGATGAATTATTTGATTTGCAGAATGATTCCGAGTAAGATCAAAAACTGCAGACACAATTTTGGTGTAGTATTCACCATTCATACCCAAACGTAAAATTGATTGACTTTTCGAGAATATATTTTCAACACTATTCTTCGATTAAAAACAAAATTAAGATAATTATAATGACATAGGTTGGCGTTAACAAAAATTTTTTAAAATTAAAAACTTAACCACGAAGGTTTAGTGAATAGTATGCAATTTTACTCATGCTATTAAAATAGTTATCAAGAGTAGTTCATATTGAAAGTCTATTAGAAAATCTTATTTTAGTGCTTATTAATTTCCATACTAATTTTGGCTTTTTAATTATATGGGGGTCGCGGGTCACTTACTTTTTATAAAAGGGGGTCGCCACTCGAAAAAGGTTGGGAACCACTGTCCTAGGTAGTGTTACAGTCGTCTGATGCGTGTGATCGAGCGTGCAATACCTTAACCCCGAAGGCAACATACCGTGGCGAACTATCTCGCCTGGGCTATAAATAGAACATGATAATGAAACGGTCGTTTATTTTCGTTTTGTGTTGGATTTATATGCTCGCTGTGGAGTGGTAAAGTCATTTGTGACCTTAAGTTCGAAATTGGACTATAAATTTAAAACGTGACTATTAAAAGAAAAGATATTTTTTTATAAAGAACTATGACCGTTAAAAAACGG